TGGCCAGCATGGTGGCTCACGCCTGTAATCCCAGCACTTTGTGAGGCCAAGGTGGGTGGATCACCTGAGGTCAGGAGTTCGAGACCAGCCTGACCAATATGGTGAAACCCCCATCTCCACTAAAATTACAAAAACTAGCCGGTCATGGTAGTGTGCGCCTGTATTCTCAGCTACTGGGGAGGCTGAGGCAGGAGAATTGCTTGAACCCAGGAGGCAGAGGTTTCAGTGAGCCGACATCATGCCACTGCACTCCAGCCTGGGCGACATAGTGAGACTCCGTCTCAAAAAAAAAAAAAAAAAAAAAAGTGACTCTCAATCTTCTTGGTAGCCTTAGAGCCAAAATCTGCTCTCAGTTAGATTTTTTTTATCAGGTGCCATTGGCAGGAAGGATCTCCCTTACGTTTTTGTTTCTAAGAACTGGTAGCTGCAGCCCCTGTGCCTGTCAGGTCTGTAGATGGTTGGGTCCCCACTTCATTAGCCTAGTCAACATGGTGAAACCCCGTCTCTACTAAAAATAAAAAATTTAAAAAAAAAAACTAGCTAGGCGTGGTGGTGAGCACCTGTAATCCCAGCTCCTCGGGAGGCTGAGGCAGGAGAATTGCTTGAACCTAGGAGACGGAGGTTGCAGTAAGTTGACATGGTGCCACTGCACTCCAGTCTCGGTGATACAGTGAGACTCTGTCTAAAAAAAAAAAAAAGAAAAGAAAATGTCTAAAAGCTGGTTGGCCTGTCCCCTGGACTGTTGTCTGGAAGAAAGGTGATGCCTGCAGGCATTCTCACTGTGGAGTGGAGTGGATGTCCCAAGTTGGGCATGCCCTTGGAAAGGCCTCTGCCCTGCCTCAGTAACATTCCCTCCTTGAGTACCCTTGTTTTCTATTCCAGGACATCCTCTTTGATGCGAATACACACAAAGTGAAGAAGTTTGTTCTACACACCAATTACCCTGGGCATTATAATTTCAACATGTGAGTACACCTGTCTGTACCTTCCCCTCTGTAAAGTGAGTTTTGGACTGAAACCCCCAGGAAAGAGCTTGTGGCTTTGGGTGTTCACTAATTTATCTACATCTGAATTCTTGCTGTTTCATGGGAAGTGAATTTCCTGAGTGCTTGCTGTGTTCCTGGCACAGGGTCCAGTGCCTTATATCTCTCTATTTGAACCCATTTTATAAATAGGGAAATCAGTTCAGAAAGCTTGATGTCTCATCCAAGGTCATAGGCTCTCCAGACCCCAGGGCCAAGATCTTTTCTGTTTGACTTCCATGCCTAAATCTGGCCTCTCTCAATGAACACTGTCAGGGGCTCAGAGCCAGGTCTTTGGGCAGGTGTGTTTGGTTCTGTTTCTCCTGGGGTATGGGGTTGGAATATGGGAGTGGCCAGGCCTTCTAGGAGGCCTAGCCTTTACCCATCTGCCTTCTCTCTAGTTATCATCGCTGTGAGTTCAAGATCCCACTAGCCATAAAGAAAGGTGAGTAGTGAAAGCTCTCAGAGTAAGGGAGGGGTTTTAGAGTCTGTTTTCCACTATGAGAAGGGAGAAAAATCGAAGCAGTAGTTGGGCGTGTAGAGCCTCTGCCCATGGCCTCAGTTCCTCTGGGGTGCACTCATTGTTCTGGGGGCTGCAGTGTTCTTGGTCTGAGTCTCCCAGAGGCCCTTGAGGCCTTTGTCTTTGACTGTGGGATTGCTGGCCTGTGGAGGGGGGAGTTTCTTATCTACAGATGATCATCCAGGGGCCCCCAGCCTATCCTTGTTGCCTGCCACCCACTGCCAGTTGGTGTAGCTCACACCTGACTGACCTCCCTTCACCCCTCCATCCTCTTCCACTCTGGAACTCCAAAACAGCCTGTTAGTCCTCCCCATGTACTCCAACCCCAGTGCAAAGGGACACCAGGTCTGGATCCTGCCTAGGGCTGGGGCCACAGGTAGGCTGGGCCAGTTACCAATCTGCCCTGCTGTCTTCTCCTTTCAGAAAACGCAGACGGTCAGACAGAAACATGCACGACCTACAGCAAGGTGAGCACCTATCTTCCTACCTGGCACAGCCTGAGAATGAGGTGGACATGAACCTGCAGGCAGCATGGGGCTGTGTCCTCTAGGCCAGCCATTGGTCACAGGCATGTTCATGTCCCTACTAACCCCTGCTCCCCTCTGTCCCTCTTGCAGTGGGACAACATCCAGGAGCTCCTGGGCCACCCTGTGGAGAAGCCTGTTGTTCTGCACAGGTGAGCGGGAGTTTGATGTCCCTGGCCATCCCACCTGACTCCTCAGAGCCCAGAAAGCCCAGGGAAGCCTGGCACAGTGGATGTTGCTTAAAAATTATAGAAGTTGCCCAGGCGTGGTGGCTCACGCCTGTAATCCCAGCACTTTGGGAGGCCGAGGCGGGCGGATCACGAGGTCAGGAGATCGAGACCATCCTGGCTAACACAGTGAAACCCCGTCTCTACTGAAAATACAAAAAATTAGCTGGGCGTGGTGGTGGGCACCTGTAGTCCCAGCTACTCAGGAAGCTGAGGCAGGAGAATGGCGTGAACCCAGGAGGCGGAGCTTGCAGTGAGCCGAAATAGCACCACTGCAGTCTAGCCTGGGCGAAAGAGCGAGACTCCGTCTCAAAAAAAAAAAAAAAAAAAATTATAGAAGTTTCTGGTGTTGCCACAAGCATAATTCCTGCCCCATTCCACATTAAGAGTGAGTCAACTGTTCTCTGTGTTCACCTGTGCTAGAGAGGCTGTCCCCAGGGGTAGCTCCCGTCTCCCAAACCTACCTCCAGGTAGGGGGCCTTCTCACCTTTAGTTATGAATTCATAAGGAAGGAGGGCTTGGCTGGCTGGCCTGGGCTGTCTTTTTCCCATCAAAGCTGCTGCCTGCTGACGTCCACAGCCCCATTCCTGGTTGCCATGCTGCCTGAGATTCTCTCACTCAAGAGAGCCTTCTTGACTCCTCACTACCCTAGTCTAGTTCCACAGTAACTTTTTGTGCCCTGTTGGGTTCTGTATGTACAATTCTGAGTTGAGTGAGGCCATCCCTACCCCTAGGACCTTGCAGGCCTGTGTGGGAAACAGACATACACTCACAGCCATGAGACTACTGGCCAGTATCCCACACCCCAGAAAACACTGGATCCCTTGTTTCAAGGCTGTGGCCTCTGTCTGCCCCTCTAATTCTGAATTCTCTGGCCTCAGGTCTTCCTCCCCAAACAACACCAACCCATTTGGTTCCACATTCTGTTTTGGTCTTCAGCGAATGATCTTTGAGGTAAGCTGTGGAAGCCCTAGAAATAAACTGCCTAGGGGGTTGCTGGTCATGGCAGAGCCAGGTGAATGATGGAGTGAAACTGGGGAGGGCCTAACTGCCATAGTGGGCAGATTCATCCTTCTCCAGCAACCCTGTCTGCTGCATGTCTGGCCTCCCCACACTTACCAGTGAAGGTTCAAAAATGATGTTGAGAAATCTGGGGTCACAGAGGCCAAAGCAGTGGTCTGTATCCAATAAGATGGGAGGTAATGAATCCCAAGTTTCTATCTGAAAACATGAGTATAGCCACATGGGAAACCACAGGGAAAGTGGGGCCCACCTGAGGGTGTTGGGGGCCCTCCAGTGGCATGTGAACGAATGCATTGTAGGGGAGTGAGTGGCTCTGGAGGCCCTACTGACTTGGGAGAACAGTGAGCTGCCCTTGTTTTCCCTGTGGATGCGGTATCTCCAGCAGACACCAACAGTTCCAGGACTGGACACATGGCCCTGGTAAAGGCTGCGTATAACCGTTGAGAAACAGGCAGATCTCAAGTAGAGAGGGGCCCTTAGCATGAACCAGGGGAGGATGAGGAGTTGGGAAGTCTAGCCCTTAGGTACAGGTGTGTCACACAACCTCCAGCCCTCATGCACAGGATCTGCCTACATCCCTCTACCCCTCCCCCTTGACCCACTGTCCTCTTCTCACACCAGGTCATGCAGAACAACCACATTGCCTCGGTGACCCTGTATGGCCCCCCTAGGCCTGGTAGCCACCTGAGAACAGCGGAGCTCCCCTAGGGACATCACCACCCATGCCCCTCTGTCCCGTGGAACTGTGCATCACATCCTGCTCAGTGGGCCTCTGTACCACCCTGTGGGTTTTCTTGGACACCTGGCCAGTGTTGAAGGGCTGTTGTGATGTTCTGAGATTGCGCTCAGGCTGCATGCTCTGCCATAGGCTGAGTGGCCCAGATATTCCTCTGTCCATCCTTGGCCTGCTGGTGCCAGCAGGGGACACAGACTGCAAAGAGAAGCACAAAGTTTGAGCCTTGATTCCTGGACCCAGGAGCTCTCAACGAACAAGCAAGGAGGCAGGACACGTCAACCCTTGTCCCATGCACGTTGGGAAGACTTGGGGCTCTTTCTGTGACTGAGGACATAGGCACCCAGGATAAGGACAAGGTCCTGCCTTTGGCCCCACATTGCCACATGACCCTTAAGGCAAGCAGGTAGCGTGTCCGTAGTACTTGGTTGCAACATTTGCACTACATCCACTTTAGTTACTTGATGAGCTGGCTGTGGCCAGGGTGACCCACCTGCCCTTCCCTGTTCCTTTCTTGCACGTGCTCCCTGCCTGGGCACACCAAACTGGTTGAAACACAGCTTTCTACCATCCAGGTACGTGCCCAGGCCTGGTTCTCACCCCTGTTGGAGTCAGCTTTCAAGATTGCCTGTGCCCCTGCTCTGCCCCAACCTGGCTGGCAGGGCTGCATGTTTCCATGCTGTTTGCCTCTTTTATTTAATGCCAAAGTTTTAGCCAAAGACATCTTCCTACTTCTGTTGTGTTTCAGCATTCTGTTCTGCACTGTGGCCTGGCTCCCTGCCCCAACCCTGGGCACTGGCCCCTGGCTGAACCATTTCATGGCTCAAAGCCTCTGGGGGCTCAAGGAAGGCTGGGCTGCTCAGTCCCTTCATGGGTCTTGCTAATGGAAAGTAGCATATATGTGCTTTAAAAATATTAATCCTTTTGAAAAGAATTGAGAAGAGAAATGTATAATTTTATCCCATTTTTAATATTTTGGTCTAGCAACTTGTGATACATAGATGACAATTTTGTGAGTTTTTCAAATGTGTGTACAGATTTTTGTAAATATGACTCTTTTGTAATTAACTCATGTACAGCCTCATCCTGTATAGTTTAATGATGAATGTGCAGGGGACCTGCCTCAGGCTCCTATATGGTTCCTGGGCCTTATAGCCAGGTTTGTGTGGCGCTCCCATGACTTTGTGACTGACTGGTGTCTTCCCATTTGGACTGTGGCCTGGCCAGAGCCCCTTGCATATCCCCACTGTCAGGGGCAGCCAGGACTGTTCCCATCCTCCTGGAATGTGGGAACCTTCCTTATCCCGTGCCCACATCCCCTCTCCAATAAAGCACCTGTGTCCTCAGCAATGGCCTGCCATGTGCTGTTGCTGGGATGTTTGTACTAAGTGTGGGTATTGGTTTTTTGAGCAAGGGGGTAAAGAATATGGGAAATTAATAGTGGTGGCGTCTCAGGGGAAGACATTCCTTGGCTCCTCTGAGGGGATACAGCCTCCAGTGGGAGACTGGCATTGTTATGTGGGTTCAGGAGGTGGGGGAAGACTAGGTAGGACCGTGCACTCATTTGTCCCTTATGTATGGCTCCATCCCTGGTGCTCGGCCACACCTGGGCCCAGGAGAGGTTGTGAGAAGCACAATGTCTGTTTTCAGATGAGCTGTGGCAGAGTGTCTGCCAGGTTCATGAAGGCTGTGGCGGCCGGAGCCCCTCCACCTCTCTCTGGGGCCTGGCCTTGAGAGCCTCTGCATGCGTCCGCGTCAGCCTAGAGGTTCCAAATCCAGCAGTGTGGTAGAATTCCATGAGTCCCTGCCACCCCACCTGAACACACCTCTCTGCTACTAGGAGGACCAGACATGTCCATTGTTCTGGGACCTGTTGGACAAGAGATGGTCATCTACCACCCAGCCGTGGCTCGCTCAAAGGGTCACCATTACACGGGTTTCAACTGGTTCCAGCAGGGTGGACCACCAGGAGCCAAGCTTAACCCCCATCCCCTGGGATCCTGTGGAGACAGGCACCTGGTGATCGGGGAAGAACCACATACATAGCAATAATCTGCCTGGGAAACCGGCTCCATCTTGGGTCTGAGTTAGGACCTTGGGGCTGTAATTGGGAGCTAGGAGTCCCATTGGAAGGGGCCTGCAGCGACAGGCTGTGGATGCGCACAGGCTGGCCCATGCGGCCCGTGCAGCAGGCGCCACATAAGCCAGATGTCAGCGGCCGAGAGCCCATGCACTACAATCAGCTCGCGGTAAAAGCAGGGGTCGAAGGTGCTCAGATGCGGCGCGGCTGAAGGCTGGGGGATGCCAAAGGTTCGGAAAGCAGGGTGAGGCTCGGGCGTGAGCCGCAGGCGCTGCAGACACATGCCCAGAAAGACGTCGTCGATGGGGAAGAGCTCGACCTGCGCACAGGCGCCAGCCAGGCGGTGCAGCGTGGCCCCGGAAAGCACAAAGCCACCGCCGCCCGCGTAGGCCGGATAGGCGGGCAGGCCGTACACGGCCTCAGGGATGTAGTACTTGCTAGCCCGCGTGCGGATGGGCCGCGCCTGCACAATTACGTCACCAGCAAGCAGGTCTTGCGCCGGATCCCGCGACGCCAGGAACTCCAGGAGATTCCCCACGTTCACGAACACATCGGCGTCGCCCTTAAAAACGAAGCGCACGTCGGGGCAGAAAGCTGAGGCCCAGGCTAGAAAGTGGATCTCCTTGAGCGTTAGGTTAAAAAAGGTGTCGTCGAAGGCCCACAGCAGGATGTCCGCATAGGCAAGGCTCTCGGTCCGCAGCAGGGCGCGCCAGTGGGTTCGTGCCCCCTCCCCAACTTCGTCAGCCCCGCCCGAGCCAGCGCCCCTGGGCACGCCCAGCAAGAACACGCGGCGCACCAGCGCCCCCTGCACCCGACCCTCCGCGCCCCACGTCTGGCGCACGGCTTGGCGCCGCTCGAAGTCCTCTGCCACTGACTTGATAGCAATAAGCAGGTCTGGGCGGCCACCGGGTGCTCCGTCGCCGCGGCACTTGTGCGGTTGGTTAATGAGCAGCGGAAACCGCCGCTGGTCCTTGGCGCGCAAATAGCGGGCGAAGTCAAAGGGTCCCGTGGGCGTGGGCGGCACCGGTGTGTCTCCTTCGTAGACCGGTGGGGCTGCACCCGCGTCGGGTAACTGGAACGCGCGGGGAGGGGGAGTGGGCCTTGGTGCAGCCCTCCCTCGCGCTCTCGGCGCGCTCGTCGTCGGGGTCGCGCCGTCGCGCTGCGCATAGAGTAGGAGGCCCAGGGAGGCGCAGAGGAGCAACGTGAGCGAAGCGTCCCTGCGTAGGCGCAGCCTCCTCATCTCCGCGCGGCCTGCGCCCTCCCTCCCCTGTAAGGGTCGCAGTCGGCGGCAGGGGGCAAGGAGCCCCGCCCTCCCCAGATGAGGAGGCGGGAGGCCACGCCCCGGGGGGCTCCAGCGACCGGCCGTTGAACCCTTCGCGTCGTTCTCCTCCTTCCGGCTGTGTCGCACCGCCGGGACGGGCAGCCTGAAGGGACGAGAAGTTCACCCATGTAGCCAACTCCCTGGCGGCCTCGCTCCGGCCCAGGACTGCGACCCAGGACCGGGCAGGGAGACGGGAGCCTCGGCCCCTCTCCCGCCCGCCTCCCTCGTGCTGAGGCCGAATCCTTTCCACCCCTGCCATCCCCTCAACGTCGGGTCCTGGGGTCCCTACACTCACGCTCGGCCCTCGGAAGTGGCGCAGCCCCGGACGCCCTGGCCTCCGGGGCTCAGCGCAGGGTCCCAGGGGCCGCCATGGACGGGGACCGAGCCAAATGCAGCGTTGGCAGGAAGGGGGAACCGGTGCCGTGCCACGTGACCCTGCAGCTGTGCGCGCCCGGACTTCTGGAGCTCAGCTCCGCCCCGGCGTCAGGAACACTTCGGCCTCCGAATGGGGGACTAATCCCTGAGAGGGAGCCTCCTCACGGTCAGTCCCTCTGGGAAGGGCTGATCTGGGTGCTCACATGCCAAATTCGCTTTTCAGGGGGTTGAGAAGAAGCATCAACTCCTCTGGTTAACTCCCCCAACTCACCACTCCCCACTCCCGCCTCTCCGGAGTGGGGCGGAGCCTGGGCTGCTAGGAGACCCTGAGCGGGCCGGTTCCAAATGCGCATGAACCTGGCCACCATCCCGGGCCCGTCCTGCAGGCCTCTCCTCAGCAGCCCTGATTCCATGAGGCAGGGTGCATACGCTGCCCGAGACATGTGGCTGCCTTCTTACTCCTGGTACTGTCATGCTTCCCACCCCCAGTAAACACACGCACGGGACAAACAAGGCAGCCCACCCAATCCTTAGGACAACCCTGCCAGCAGCTCTCATTCATGCCCAGATGGGGGACACTGGGGGCTCCTCGGGGAGTTAAGTGACTTGCCCAGGATCAAAGGGCCAGAAAGCTCTACCCCCAGGTCTTCTGAAATTCCGCCCAGGATTCTTTCATCTGTCCTTGCCCCGCTCATCCATCCACTGGGATATAGAACAGGGGGCCAACCCAGTCTGCTTTAATTTCACAGGCAAGCACTTCAGCCTGTCTCCCCGGGGACTAATGGACCCGAGCCCAAGCCAGGTGCAGTTCTGAGTCCCCTGGTCTCCAGCATAGCCTACTGCAGGTAGAAATAATCAGCCTGTGCTGCTGCAGGTCAGACTGGGCTGGCAGGGATGGGGACAGCTTGGGAAGACTCCTGGCAGAGGCCTTGGCTTAGGGATTACTCTGGGATCCAGGTGGGCAGAGGTGCTCTGCAATGGAGAGCTAAGTCCGTGCCCAGCTCAGCTGCCAGTTCTCTCTTTCTTGGTCCCAGCCCATGTGGTGGAGCCTGGAATAGACAGCCTCCACCAGTCTCTAAGAACCCAGCCCCATCCTCTGTTCAAGGGCTATATCTGCTCCTAATGGCTTCTTCCCACCAACGTTCAACCTTAAAAAGCCAATTCTCTGGCTGGGTGTGATGGCTTATGCCTGTGACCTCAACACTTTGGGAGGCTGAGGTGGGTGGATCACTTGAGGTCAGGAAGTCGAGACCAGACTGGCCAACATGGTGAAACCTCCTTCTCTACTAAACCCCCTTCTCTACTCTTCTGTACTGAAAATACAAAAATTAGCCAGGCATGGTGGTGGGCACCTGTAATCCCAGTGACTCAGAGGGCTGAGGCAGGAGAATTGCTTGAACCTGGAAAGTGGAGGTTGCAGTGAGCCAAGAACGCACCACTGCACTCCACCCTGCGCAAAAGAGCGAGACTGTCTCAAAAAAAAAAAAAAAAAAAAAAAAAAAAGCCAGTCATGGTGGCTTACGCCTGTAATCCCAACACTTTGGGAGGCCAGGGCAGGTGGATCACTTAAGGCCAGGAGTTTGAGACCAGCCTCCTGGCCAACATGGAGAAACCCTGTCTCTGCTAAAAATACAAACATTAGCCAGGTGTGGTGGCACGTGCTTGTAATCCCAGGTACTTGGGAGGCTGAGGCAGGAAAATCACCTGAACCTGGGAGACGAAGGCTGCAATGAGCCAAGATCGTGCCACTGCACTCCAACCTGGTGACAGAGTAAGACTGTCCAAAAAAAAAAAAAAAAAAAGCCAACTCTCCACCCTGAGCCTCACTCTTTCTGGTCATGAAGTAATCAGGAGTCCTCTGCTCCAGCTTTCTCCATGGCCTCACCTCCCATTCCCTCCTGTGATAAAGCTTCGGACTGCCTCCACCATGACTCAGAAAGACCCCTGCCTGGTAAGCTCCTTTTAACTGAGTCCAACAGATGCTCCTCAGTCTTGACTAATTACCCACTCCATTATAGCGGGTGGGTAATCCCCTGGTTTCCAAATCTCCTGGTTTTCCTCCTTCCTCTTTGGCTGTTCCCATTCTGGTTGGTGTCCTTCAGGACATCCCCTGGGGCCACCCCACCCACTCCCACTTGTCTATTCATCAATCTTTAGATTGGACCCTTGTCCTGAACTCAGAACTACAGACCCAGCTGCCCTCATACTCTCTCCCTGGATGCCCTGCAGGAACATCATGCTCAACTTGTCCCAAACAGAGCAAGCACTTCACTTCCCCCGGGGCCCCATCCCAGCAGGCAGTCCCACCCACTATCCAACTGGCAAAGACAGAAACTTGGGGTCCTCTCTCAGCCATTCCTCACTCAGTGTCACCAGGCTTGTTGCTCTTCCACCCACACAGCTCTTGGTGGTCATCCCCTTCCCTCCATCTCTGCTGCTGCTGCCCCAGCCTGGGGCCACCATTTCCCCCACCCCCATCCTCATCAACCTCCCAGTCTTGGCCAGGTGCGATGGCTCACGCCTGTAATCCCAGCACTTTGGGAGACCAAAGTGGGTGGATCACCTGAGGTCAGGAGTTTGAGACCAGCCTGACCAACATGGAGAAATCCCATCTCTACTAAAAATACAAAATTAGCTGGGCATGGTGGTGGGCGCATGTAATCCCAGCTACTTTGGAGGCTGAGGCAGGAAAATTGCTTGAACATAGGAGGTGGAGGTTGCAGTGAGCCAAGAACGTGCCATTACACTCCAGCCTGGGCAATAAGAGCGAAGCTCCATCTCAAAAAAAAGACAAAAACAAAACAAAAAAACCTCCCAGTCTTAACTTCCGAAACCCTTCAAAGGCTTCTCACTGGCCTCATTGAAAAACCCACACCCTGTAAAATGGCTTATCAGATCCCCCCACACACGTGATCAGCCTCAGCTCCAGGTCTCAGCAAATCCACAGATCCAGACACTTTTAACTGTCCTTCTAATGTCCCTCTCATCTTCCTCAAGCTCTTGCCTAAGGCTGTCGGTGCCCCGAACATTGCCCTTCTCTTGATACCCCACCCCTATGCCTGCTCACACTCATCTCCAGGAAGCCTGTCCAGGTTAGGCTCCTTCCTCCATCCTCCACAAATTCTTTTTTTTTTTTTGGGGGGGGGGGGGGGGGGGACAGGGCCTCACTCTGTCACCCAGGCTGGAGTGCAGTGGCTCAATCACATCTCACTGCAGCCTCAACCTTCCACACTCCAGGGATCCTCCCACCTCAGCCTCCTAAGTAGCTGGGACTACCCAGGCTGGTCTCAAACTCCTGAGCTCAAGCAATTCTCCTGCCTCTGCCTCCCAAATTGTTGGGATTACAGGTGTAAGTCACTACTACTTGTATGTCTCACATCAAAACCCATGTTATACTTTATTATAATTGCTTTACATTCGGGGTCCCACACTGAGTGTGAGCTGGGGGCAGTCAGGATTGATTCGTGTTTTACTTCACTGCAGTATCTGCAGCACCCAGGATGAAGTCCAGGACACCAAAGGTCAAGGTGCTTCATGAGTGAAACTGTAAGGGCCGGTTGTAAGCTGCGCTTCTGGGTGGGAGAAGGTGAGATTGATCTCCAAAGCAAGTCCCCCCCCCCCCCCCCCCACACTCTATCAAAGTACCTGAGGCAGAATCCCCAATGGTGCACCCCCAGCGGGCTCAGTGGGTGCTGGTCTGGCTCCTGGGGAAGGCAATCAACTCTGCCCCAGCAGGTCCAGCAGATAGGCCAGATGGGGTTTCAGGGTCCCATGGATGGACAGGGGTTCAGCAATAGCAGCAGAAGGAAACCTAGGGCCATCCAGGTTCTCCAAAAGCTGGCTGCACCCCTGGTCTAGGCCAGGCCGCCATTGGGATCGGTCAGGCCCAGCAAGTCCTCTGCCAGGCTGGTGAGCTCGTTCTCCTCAAGTGCCTCCACCAGGCGCTGCAGCGTGGCGCGGCGGCCCTCGGCCTGCACAAAGCGCCGCAGCAGCTGGAAGGCCTGCTCGTACAGTCCCTCGCGCTCGTACTCGTAGGCCAGCGAATCCAGCGCCGGGTCCCGCAGCGCCCGGCAGCCCCGCTGCAGCGAACGCCCCACCTTGCGCCATTTGAGGCCCACGGAGCGCGCGAACGTCTGTTGGTCCTGCAGGCTCAGCGGCCGGTTCACTGCGGAGGGAATGGGAAGCCGGGTGAGGGCGGGAACCTCCAGCGCCGGTCCCACCCATCCCCACCCGGCAACGACCCCTGCCCCTCCTCAGACCCCAACCTCCTGGTGACCCTGCCTCTCCGCCTGCGCCTCACCTACAGGCTGACCCTGGAACAGAAAAGTCTGGGCAGGTGGCGGCTTCACATCCGACAGAGAGGGCACCGGGGGCTGCGAGGGGGCCGATGTGACCTCCCCGTCGCCACCCTGGGTCCCCGAGCCGCACTTCAGATTTCGCAGCGCATCCTCCAGCTCAGCCAGTTCTTCATCCCGGAGCCGGTCGGGCTAGGGGAAGGGAGCATGCCGTCACGGGGGACTTAGCCGTGGATTCCCGCCCTACACCATCCTGACCCCAGCCGGGCCGCACCTGCTGGGCTAGGATACAACTCAAACAGCGCTCCTCGTCCGCCAGCAAAGCGTCCAGCCGCTCAGCGCCGGCGCGCAGCTCCAGTTGCAGCGCCACGGAACGCTGGGCGAGCGCGGCCGCCAGGCTCCTCTGCAGCGCGGCGCGCAGCGCCCCCTCGCGGTAGGCGCGGAGGAAGCGGCCGCAGGGCTGCCGCCCGCAGAATCGCAGCTGCACGATCAGCTGCGGGTCGCTGCGGTGGATCTTCAGCATCTGCAGCACTTCCGGGCTCCCGCCGCTCTCTGCGGAGGTGGGCAGTCAGGCGCCTGGCGGTCCCCAAGCTCAGTCGTTCTCCAAACGGCCAGAGGAGGGGTGAAGCCCGTGGTGAAGCCCCGTGTCCCATCCCCTGACCTAGGGTGCAGGTACCCCAGAGTACCCAGCTGGGAAGCAAAATTGGGATGCAAACAGCAACAACCCAGAAAGAAGACCAGGACCTGTCACAGGGAGCACCCCAAGACAGAGTGGGTGCCACCTAGTGCAAGCTCTCACGCCCCAAATGAGGGTTGACAAAAGAGAGGGACTTCGAAGCACAGAAAAGGGGGCGTGTGCCCTGGGCAACCAAGCCGTCTGGGTAGGCAGCCAGCAGGGCAGAGGAGGGCAGGAGGTCTCAGGTCTTCGGCCTCCACCAAGCGCGGCTCCCACTGCTCGGGAAGAAGAGCGGCGGCTCTCGCTGCTCTGAGGCCACGAACAGATCCCCCAACCCGCTTCAGCCTCCTGTGGCCTCTGCCCTAAGATGGGAAAGGGGGGCCTGGAAGGGTAGGTACTGGAGAGGGGTCTTGAGCAAGGAGTGCTGGAGTAAGAGAGGAAAAGAGGAGAGAGACAGCCACAATTAGTAGAAAGGAGTGAGCCAGCTGGTGGAGGGGGGCGGGGATGGAGCAAGAGATGTTAGTGCACAAATAGGTAAATCATACACAGTCGAGGACACACGTCTACCGTCAAGGTCATGCCACAAGCAGAGAAGAGAGCCTGCACAGCCAGGGGTCCTCCGTCTTGCTCCTCCCACCCTAAATCTTCTCCTTAAAGGTGGCTAAGCCCAGGCCCACCCACAAAATGCCCCAGGCCACCCCTTCCTCTCCACATGCCCACCCACCCACGCACCTGCCAAGGCAGCCTGCAGAGCCCTGTACACTGCCACCTTCTGCTGGGGGTGCGCGTAGGCATCCGACAGGACCACCTTGTCCAGCGAGGATTCCACAAACAGGTATGCGCTGCCCACCCACTCTTCGTGCCCATTTTGCCCAGCTGCCATCTCACCTCCTGGAGATGCAGACAGTTGGGTATCCAGTTCATCCCCCCTCCCTCTGCTCTGGAGACAACCATCCAGCCCCACGTAGTTCAGCGTCTCCACCACAGTAACCTCAAGTCCCACATGGTTCAGTTGTCCCCACCACTGGTTGGCATACTTGGGACAGGAGTTCACCATCTCACAGGAAGCCCCCTGAGCTCCTGGCCCTGTACTGAGTCCCACCCACCCCAGGCTTGCAGTGAGGACTGTCCCTCCACTGCCTTCTCAGCGAAAGAGCCCAGGGTCACAGTGGAGGGGGAGCAGAGGCAGATCCTGCAATGGGGCTTCTCTGCCTCCTCCTCAGGCCTGTGTGTCTCTCTTACCAACATGGACAAGAGACATCTTCATGCTGGATGGTGCTCATGCCCCAAAGCCAACAAGACCCATATGCTCCTGGCCTTGCCTTCTGAGTAGACTTGAGCCCAGCATCTCTGGAGGACCTCAGCCTAAGACTAAACCTCCTGTCTTCACTTCGAAGGACATCTGTAGTTTGCATCTACCCAGATTCCCTCCTGAAAGCCTGACTTACCTTAGGGACTTCCCTCCTCCCTCTTCTCAATCCATGTGCCTGTGTCCCACTCCCTAGTTCCAGGTCGGGCTTGTGCACCAGACCTGGCTAATCTGCACATTCCATTCACATTTCTGCAGTGATTAGTTCAGAGCAGGGTGTAGGACTTAAGTTGGACCCATGAGAATCAACCCTGCAACTCTGGTTGCGCCAATAGGAAAGAGGCACTCCTTTCCCTTCCCTTGGGACTGAACTGGAAGGAAGAGGTAGCTCTCCTTTAATACTGCTTGGGAAGAGTCTGACTGGGAATGAAGCTGACACAGAAAGAAATAGTCAAGAGATGGAGCAGTGCACTCCCAACCATACTACGCCCCTGGATCCAGCTGTTCCTGAAGCCACTGCACCCTGGACTTTTCAGTTATGTGAGCTAAATAATCCTTTTTTGTTATAAAGCCCTTGGAGTTCAGCTCTGGTCATTTCCAACACAAATTGTTCTATTCCTTCCCTGTCCAGAAAAAGCCAGGGCCCTTGGTGCTAGCATAGTATCTCCTTCCTCCATCTTCTGACAAAAACCTAGCCCTGGACCAGCCGAGGCAAAATTCCCAGCCAGGGAACCACTGCACTGACCCACAGCTCAGTGGTCTCCCAGTTACTACCCCATGAGACAGCAAGTAAGAAACTGCCCTCCCTCTTTCTCACCACCTTACCCTTTTCCTAGAATCATGGGATCAAGGCCCTACCTTCTGCCCCATCAGTCACACTCCTGCACTCTCCAGTCAACAGGGTTTATATATGGTGGGCTAGGAGGAGTGTTGAGTGTTAGCTATGGGGCAGGACAGATGGGGTGGCCCCAGCTGCCATCTGTTTACATGAGGAACAGGAAGCTATCCTGTCCTGGCCTCGAAAGGTGCTGGAATTACAGGAGTAAGCCACTACTCTCGACCTTTGTTTTCTAAATTTTCTTGTTTTTGAGACAGGGTGTTGCTCTGTTACCCAGGCTGGAGTGCAGTGGCACTATCACGGCTCACTGCAGCCTTGACCTTCCCGGCTCAAGCAATCCTGTCACCTCAGCCTTTCAAGTAGCTACGACTTTAGGCATGTGCCACCAAGCCTGGCTAGTTTTTGTATTTTTAGTAGAGATGGAGTTTCACCATGTTGCCCAGGCTGGTCTCAAACTCCTGGGCTCAAGCGATCTGCCCACCTCAGCCTCCCAAAGTGCTGGGATCACAGGTGTGAGGCACCACACCTGGCCTCCTAATCTTTTCATAGAAAACATTAATACTGTGTACTTACACCAAACCACAGTCTGGATAGTAACAGGAAATTTGCATTTTGTTTATCTCTGGGCAGGATGGAGGGAGGTAGGTGGGGGTGGGGAAGGATTGTGGGTGATTTTTATTTTCTTTGTATTTAGCAATATTTTCTGCTTTATGTGAAGTAGACACATTTTCTTTGTATTAAAAGAGCAAAATAAATTTGTTTTCTTTAAAAGCAAAACAAGAAAAAGTGGGAAACTCTGCAGGTGACAAGTGGGTCCATGATAGGGAGCCAGCCACGGAGGTGAGATAAGGGGGAGTCCTAGGAAAGTGGCCTGGGGAGTAGGAGAGAGTGGGAACCTCCCCTGGAAACGTTCCCTCTTTCACATCTTCCTAGCCCCTTGACTTGGAAGTGCTGACCCGATGGTTGTGGTCCCACCCCAAGGGGTGGAAGTGGGGACCAAAGGGGACCAGTGTCTGCCCATCAGGTCTGCAGGGGAGGGTGGGGAGGCAGGGAGTACTGGGAACCTGGAGACTGGGGATGCTTCCTCACACTCACTAGTACCAGACCCATGGGGGAGGTAAGCCAGGCTGAAGGTCGAGTTAACAGGGTAAAGAGGCCAGGGCCCTAGTTTCGCATCCGCCGATTGGCAGCTCTTCTAACGTGTTCTTGCACAGAAGCCCCTCCTTGGGAAGCCCCGCGCCCCACCCACCCGTAGTCGTCCCTTTTTGGGAGGGGCTGAGGCTTCCAGGCTGGGTCCTGAGAACGTTTGGTGGCCGGAGACTGTGGGGCACTTGGGTACCGACCTAACAACGTCTTTCCAGGGGCGAGCCACGCACGGCGCCCCTTGAACACTTAACAGTCCCGGGGGCAGCCCCACCTCTGGCTGGGTGGACAGGGACAGCCTGTGGGCGTGGCCCACAAATGAAAGCCTGCGACTCCTTGCGACCCGCCGGGCACACCCCCTACTCAGCTACGCAGCTCCCAAGCGCTGGAGGGGAGCTTCCCAGGCTCCCACTAGCCCACCCTCAAGCTGGGGTTTCGCACGTGCGAACGGCTGGGGTGGACAGGGGCGTCTCCGCTCAAGGAGGTGTTCAGAACCACCCCTCCTCCCCCACCCTCTCTCCTGCGGGGCCCTACTGCCCCTCGAAAGCGCTGGCAGGGACGAGGAGCCTGCAGGGGCCAAATTCAGTACCGACCCCCGCCTCCCACGGGAACAGCCCAATAGGCCGCCGCCACCAGCTGGCTGGAGCAGCCGCCGGTGACATCTGCGCCGCGCCCACGCTTCGGAGCCAAGATCCACCTCCGCTCCCGCCCGCACTGGGGAACCTACCCACCCACCCACCCACCAGCTGCACTAACCTGGCCGCCTCGGCTGGGCCTGGGTTCCCACGCCCGCCAGGCTCCGCTCTACTCGCGCCGCTTCCGGGTGTGCGCGGAGGCGCTGGGGCGGTGCCCTAGCCCGAGCCTCCTAGTCCGCCCGCGCGTCCTGCTTCGCGGGCTCCCGGTGGCTGCTTCCCGCCCGCTGCCCTCTGCTGCCAGTCCCCTGTCCCAGGCAAAGCCCATCTGGTCCGCTGAGCAGGTAAGACACCAGCGCCCAAGGTTAGACGGCAGGAAGACCGGGACTTTGGGGGTTTGTGATTCTTACGAGGCCGGGGGCTCGTAAGAGCGAGAGCTGCCAGATTTCGGTAGATCAAGGGAGCGCCCCCTGGAGACCAGAATTTTCTGGTGCCCCTGGGGATCCGGCTTCAAGATCGCTGCTGCCAGTGGGCACTCAAAACGGGGTGCCCATGTGTCCCAGGTCCAAGCCCAGCCGAGCGTATCTGAAGCCCCAGGAAACACGTGGCACAAATTCCGGGAGAAACTGTTAGCCCGGAAGATACGGGAACATTAACTGGCGAGTAGTGTGAAGCCTTGTGTACGCAAAACTTCAGGAACCTTAAAACAAGATTGGCAGCCGGGCGCAGTGGCTCACGCCTGTAATCCCAGCACTTTGAGAGGCCGAGGCAGGTGGATCACCTGAGATCAGGAGTTCAAGACCAGCCTGGCCAATATGGTGAAACCCCATCTCTACTAAAAATACAAAAATTAGCCGGACGTGGTGGCGCGCGCCTGTAGTCCCAGCTACTCGCGAGGCCGCGGCAGGAGAATCTCTTGAACCCGCGAGGCGGAGGTTGCAGTGAGCCGAGATCTCGCCACTGCACTCCAGCCTGGGCGACACAGCTAGATTCCGTCTCAAAACAAAACAAAACAAAAAGAAAAAACAAACAAACAAGATTGGCAACTTCAAAGAGGACGCACACTTTTCCAATAACCCATCCCCCTCTAAAGGCTGCTCTCCAGGGTGGGTCTGCGGAGTTCCAGCCAAACCCAAAGTGCCCAGCGGGAGACAGGACTGCTCAGGGGTCGGCACTTGAAACTTGAGCCCCTCAGGCACCAGAACCGTCAGGTCCCAGAGCCCCAAGTTTTTTTTCATCCTGTGGGGCTGTCTTAGGAAGCACCCGGGACATCTCCCCCGCGAGGCGGAGGCGGGGAAGGAGGCGGGGAAAGAGCCTCCCCTCCCGGGGCGGATCCAGCTTTGCCCCGCCCGCACCTCGCTTCCTGATTGGCTCATGGTCCTGACAAGGAAAAGTCTACATTAACGCTCCCGCCTTATTAACCCTGTAGTCACTTTCTACTAACCGGCCGGGTTAAGAACGGGTTTCTCAGGCCGAGCGCCGTGGCTCATCCCCGTAATCCCATCACTTTGGGAGGCCGAGGCGGGCCGATCGCTTGAGCCCAGGAGTTCGAGGTCAGTCTGGGCAACAAAGCGAGACCTCGTATCTGAAACAAAATTACAAAAATTAGCCAGGCGTGGTGGCGTGCCCCTGTAGTCCCAGCTACTCGGGAGGCTGAGGTGGGAGGATTGCTTGAGCCCGGGATACAGAGGGTGCAGTGAGTTGTGATTGCGCCACCACTGCACTCCAGCCTGGGTAAAGTGGGAGACCCTGCCTAAAAAAAAAAAAAAAAAAGAGGTTGGGGGGTGAGTTCTCAACGTGGAACCTGTGGAGTCACCGGGGACTTGTTGAAATGCAGATTCCTGGGCCTTACCCTTTCCGGAGAGCCTGATTTAGTAGGTGAGGCTGTGAAATCTGCTTTGTGAACAAGTGTTCACAAAGCAGTTATCTGATGCCCCACGCTGTCTGAGAGGCCCTCAGTTACTCAGGCCACAAACATTTGTACACCTAAGATGGGTCTTCCCGCAACACTTTGCGCCTTCCTAAGCCCAGAGACGTCCCTTTCTCTCCAGGCCGGAGCTATTGGGAGTGGCGGATCCTCCCACCCCAGCCGGATCCGGGCCATGGCCGAGACTGGAGAGGGACTGCCAGAGGAGGTGTTGGCACTCATCTTCTGCCACCTGCCCCTGAGAGACCGTGCTGCCGCCGCCAGGGTCTGCAGGGCCTGGGCCGCCGCTGCTACCTGCAGCACCGTGTGGCACGACACAAAAATCAGGTGAGCCTGCTCCTCGACACTCCCCTCCCCATGGCCCACTCACCTTCTCTGTGGAGTCGTGGGCTAGAGATTCAGGTTGACTCCCCCATATTTAAAAATAATTGCTGGCAGGGTGCGGTGGCTTATGCCTGTAATCCCAGCACTTTGGGAGGCCGAGGGGGGTGGATCACCTGAGGTCAGGAGTTTGAGACCACCCTGGCCAACATGCTGAAATCCCCTCTCTACTAAAATACAAAAACTAGCCGGGTGTGGTGGTGGACGCCTGTAATCCCAGCTACTTCGGAGGCTGAGGCGTGAGAATCGCTTGAACCCGGGAGGCGGAGGTTGCAGTGAGCCAAGATCCCGCCACTGCACTCCAGCTTGGCGACAGAGTGAGACTTTATCTCAAAATAATAATAATAGTAATAATAATAATTGCTGACATGTATTGACTACCTAATATATACCAACCATTGTTTTTAAGTGCCTTACATATATTAACTGATTTAATCTTTACGAAAACCTGTGTGGTAAATAGGTATTTTCATTACCTCCATTGCCCAGATAGGAAGCTGAGGCAGACAGACTTAATCACTTCCCACAGGTCACTCAGCTAGGGAATGGCAGGGGCGGAATTCGAACCACGCCAAGACTTCTTAGAGACAGCTGAGAAAGCCCGGTTCCTAAAATATCATTGGCTCTCCATGTCCAGGTTTCATCCTGTGGCAGACGCCACTGAAATCTTCTAAAAGGATAGGATGCGAGTTCCCTCCTTTGGGGCAACAGTCGTGGTCTGGACAGAGACGTGGGGAGGGAGGCAGGAAATGGGATGGCAGCTGGAATCCCAGCTAAGGGGTGGATAGAGGGTTCTTCCCTGGTTGCGGGGACTCAGCCGAGGCCTTTTCTGCACGGCTCTAACTCAAGTTGCGAATGTGAGCTGGAAGGCATGCTGCCACTTTATCTGTCCACCTGCCTGGACCACGTTCACAACCTCCGGCTGGAATTTGAGCCATCGAGGGAGGCGAGCCGCCGGGCGGCCATCGAGCTGCTGATGGTTCTGGCGGGCCGTGCCCTGGGGCTGCGAGGCCTGCGCCTGGAGTGCCGCGGAGAGAAGCCGCTCTTCGACGCGGGCCGCGACGTCCTGGAGGCTGTGCACGCTGTGTGCAGGGCGGCCCGCGAGCTACGCCACCTCGACCTGCGGCGCTTGCCCTTCACACTGGACGACGCGCTAGTGCTGCAGGCGGCGCGCGGCTGTCCCGAGCTCCACAGCCTTTTTCTGGACAACAGTACCCTAGTGGGCAGCGTGGGTCCTGGCTCAGTGCTCGAGCTACTGGAGGCTTGCCCGCGCCTGCGCGCTCTCGGCCTGCACCTAGCCAGTTTGTCGCACACCATCCTCGAAGCGCTGGCGGCGCCAGACCGCGCGCCTTTCACGCTCCTGGCTCTGCGGTGCGCGTGCCCCGAGGATGCACGCGCGTCCCCGCTGCCCAACGAAGCCTGGGCAGCGTTGCGCCGCCGCCACCCTGGGCTGGCAGTGGAGCTGGAGCTGGAGCCCGCGCTGCCCTTTGAGAGCGTGACGCGCGTCCTGCAGCCAGCGGTCCCCGTGGCTGCTCTGCGCCTCAACCTCTCAGGCGACACCGTAGGCCCAGTGCGCTTCGCAGCGCACCACTACGCCGCAACCCTGCGCGCACTCGAGGTGCGCGCAGCCGCCTCAGCCGAGCTGAACGCCTCGCTGGAGGAGCTGGCGGCGCGCTGCGCGGCCCTGCGCGAGGTGCATTGCTTCTGCGTGGTGAGCCACTCGGTGCTGGAAGCCTTCCGCGCGCACTGTCCGCACCTGCGCACCTATACCCTCAAGCTCACGCGTGAGCCGCATCCCTGGCGGCCCACGCTCGTGGCGCGATTGGGCGACTTCTCTCCCCCGTCCCCGCAGACGTAAGCGCTCCGAGATGGGACGGATGTGCCCAGGCACGCCCCGACTGCTAGTGCCTTCTTTCGGGATTGTTGCCCGCCCAGGTCTTTACGGAGTTGGGAACTGTGATGGCATCGGGACCAGTCCTGGGCGCCCTCAGACCACTCGGCTGCTCTTACCCTCTGCAGACGCCCCACCCGCTCGGTCCTGGACACACTGCCCCCCTTCTTGCCTCCACCCCTCTGCGGACTCTGCATCTCTGCGGCCCTGGCGCGGGGAGAGGGAGGGCACAGGCGCGGGCCGGGCCTCAGGGGTGAGTGTGAAATAAACAAATCCTGCAGTGTTTCTGAGAGTCCTGTTAAAGGCGGGGTCGGATCTGAAAGGGAAGGGCAGGGAACGCACGGGGGACCGGAGGAGCCATCCCGGCAGAGGTGGGGTTTCCTCAGGGTCCTCTGGACTGACACAGCTGCGGGGGGTCAGGGGCGGGACACTCGCACCTTGGAATGACTACGTCCAAGGGCTTGGGGGGGAGCCCCACCTTCCTTTCTGCTTCCCCTGCCTGGGGCTTCACTGTGCCTCTGGCCATTACCTTCTAGCACTTGCCCAGCCCACACCAGGTCGCGCACCGGCTATTTCTCCCGTAGAACAGAGAAGGAAATAGAGGGACTGAGAAGGGTGGGACTCGAACCCAAGTCTCCCACTCGCCCCCCCCCCCCCCCCCCCCCCCCCCACATCCCATCCAGCCAGCCTTTTCTGCCTGCTGGTGCCTCGGCCGCTGTCCCAGCCCCGCCCCGCGGGCTCGCACGTGGCCCCCGCCTGACCCGGCGCCCCGGGGCGGAGTGGGGCGGAGCGGGCGGCAAACGCAGCACTTTCCGCGGCTTTGACGAGCCCACAGCGGCCGGGCCCAAGCGCTGAGCCGGGCCGAGACTGCACCATGCAGGAAGCGCCAGCAGCGCTGCCCACGGAGCCAGGCCCCAGCCCCGTGCCTGCCTTCCTCGGCAAGCTATGGGCGCTGGTGGGGGACCCAGGCACAGACCACCTGATCCGCTGGAGCCCGGTGAGGGCCGGGGCCCCTCGATTCCCCCAGTGGTCCCGGGGTCCCTCCACGCCAATGAACACCCATGCCCGCCCAACCCCCGCGTGGGACTGGCCGTGGATCCCCAGATTCAGCCATGCAGGGAAGTTCACCGTGGAGGGGGCGTTCGAGACGGGGGTTTCCTCTGCGGCCGAAGAAGGCAGCCTTCTGGAGACCTAGAGCCCGAGGGACCTTCGAGGCCATTTAGTTCCCACCCTACCCCATCCGACAGATGGGAAAACAGAGGCCAGGAAATGGGAAGGGCTGGTCTAGTTCAGGGCACACTGAGGGGCTGGGGCCTGTCCAAGGCTGGAACCCCGTCAGCCTCTCCTTTCTGAGAACCGAGCATGGAGTCAGGGTCTGGCTGGGGATAGGGACTCACTGGTTGCTCCAGGCCAGGCCTCGGAGCCCATTCTGGCCTGGCCTCGACCCATGTCCCCGTAAGCGGTAGGCCTGGACCCCAGAGTGAGTGTGTGTGCGCACGCCGGAGCGCAGGACTGGCCGTGGGCGGGCACCGCTCACCCTCTTGGTCTCCGCCCGCACGGTGGGCGGGCGGCGTTCTTGGTAGAGCGGGACCAGTTTCCTCGTAAGCGACCAGAGCCGCTTCGCCAAGGAAGTGCTGCCCCAGTATTTCAAGCATAGCAACATGGCGAGCTTCGTGCGCCAACTCAACATGTGTGAGTCCCTACGGCCAGGCAGGGAGCGGGGATGGGGGATTCGGTGCCGGGGATGGGGCGACCCACGCCCCCACGCCCCACTCCCCAGACGGTTTTCGGAAGGTGGTGAGCATCGAGCAGGGCGGCCTGCTTAGGCCGGAGCGCGACCACGTCGAGTTCCAGCACCCGAGCTTCGTGCGCGGCCGCGAGCAGCTACTGGAGCGCGTGCGGCGCAAGGTGGGGGCGGCCTGTGGGAATGAGCAAAGCGGAGGAGGGGTGCTGGGACTGCCGTCCTTGCTCCTGCGACCCAGTCCCGACGGTGCCTCCCGCCCGCAGGTGCCTGCGCTGCGCGGCGACGACGGCCGCTGGCGCCCGGAGGACCTAGGTCGACTACTGGGCGAGGTGCAGGCTTTGCGGGGAGTGCAGGAGAGCACCGAGGCGCGGCTGCGGGAGCTCAGGCAGTGCGGGGGCGGGTGGGGAAAGAGGGGACGGGGGTGGAGGGTTCGGGATGAGACCATAACTGGCCGGCAGGCGGTTCTGGGCAGCCCCTTCCTCTCTCTGGCCTTGGCGCTTCCATCCAGGCTTACGGGCGATCTCTAGGATGGCCAATCATCGGGGTGGTCTCCTGGGTCCCTGGCCTCGCCATTCTGTGGGGGGTGGTGACTGGGCGAACCCTCAGATGCCTCAGCACCCTCCCACCCCTTTCTCAGGCAGAACGAGATCTTGTGGAGGGAGGTGGTGACACTTCGGCAGAGCCACGGTCAGCAGCACCGGGTCATTGGCAAGGTGTTCCTCTCCCTGATGCCTCACTTCTCCCTCCCATTCCTCGACACCCCATTCCACCGCCCAGTCCCCCGGCGCCCCTGGTTAAACCTCCCTCCCTCACCTGGAAGTGCAGGGGTGGGAGGGGTGTCCAAAGTATGAATTAACCCTTTGCTTTCTCTTCAGCTGATCCAGTGTCTCTTTGGGCCACTTCAGGCTGGGCCGAGCAATGCAGGAGGCAAGAGAAAGCTGTGAGTGAGAAAGCCAAGAAGACCCGCACCCACTTCCAAGACCCCCCAGAAGTCCCCTTGCAAGGACCCCTTCTCCTCCAGAAACTCCTTCATCAGGAATCCTCATTCCTCCCCCTGCACTACAGGCTTCCTCACCCCATCTAGGATCCACTTCCCCCAAACTCTGCCACCTGATACCCCCACTCCCAGATCCTCCCATTCCAGGACCTTATTCCCAAATTCCTGCCCCAGCAGCCCCTTGCCCCTCCCCACAAGGCTTCCCAACAGCTGAGGGCCTGGGGCTCAAACCAGGTTCCCTCCCGCCCCTCTCTGCCTGCAAAGGGCCCCCATCTCTGGGGGGAGCCCCTTCCACCTCCAGCATGTGACTGACACCCTGGCAACAGGCCTCAGCTCTGCTGACTTGGCTGCTGGGGCCTGAGGGAGGGAGGGAAGTGCAGGCCGAGGGGCATGGGGGCTGACCCTGCCCCACGCCTGCCTGTGCCCTGGTCGACCACACAGGTCCCTGATGCTGGATGAGGGGAGCTCATGCCCAACACCTGCCAAGTTCAACAACTGCCCTCTACCTGGTGCCCTTCTGCAGGACCCCTACTTCATCCAGTCGGTAGGTTTGTCTTCTTCCCCCTTCCCAAGGGCATGGCTGGGCTTATGGAGAGCCTGTTCCTTCTCCCCATCCCCTAAAAGGAAGAGAAGATGGAAGCCAGCCTTCCCCCCAACCAGACCCAGGCCCTCCAGCATGGACTGAGCCTCTTCCCTCAAACCTTCTCCCTTAGACCTGGCCCAGGTGGGTGTTGGTGGGGTTCTGGCTCTCCCTGTACCTACAGGCCAAGGGCTGGGCCTAGCCTTCTACTTACAGCCCCTCCCAGAGACGACTTTGGGCCTCAGCCCTCACAGGGCCAGGGGCCCCATCATCTCTGACATCCCAGAAGACTCTCCATCCCCTGAGGGGATCAGGCTTTCTCCCTCCAGTGATGGCAGGAGGTAAGGGGGACAGGGCTGCCCCTGGGGGGCCTGTGGGGGAGAGCCTGGCAGCCCAGATGGCTGTGGGGGTAAAGGGAGAAATCAGTGCCAGGGTCTGGTTGAAGCTTTTCTCCGGTGCAGGGAGAAGGGCCTGGCACTGCTCAAAGAAGAGCCGGCCAGTCCAGGGGGGGATGGCGAGGCCGGGCTGGCCCTGGCCCCAAACGAGTGTGACTTCTGCGTGACAGCCCCCCCACCGCTGCCTGTGGCTGTGGTGCAGGCCATCCTGGAAGGGAAAGGGAGCTTCAGCCCCGAGGGGCCCAGGAATGCCCAACAGCCTGAACCAGGGGATCCCAGGGAGATACCTGACAGGTGAGCAGAGCCCCAGCTGGACCATGAGCCCTGTGATAGAACAGCCCTTACCAGCCCACAAAGCTTCCTAGCCATTTGACTCCGTGATACTCACCTGATTTCTTGGCCCCAGCATCAGAGTCCTGTGGAAAGCAAAGCCTCCCAGTCAGGGCACTCAGCATCTGTGGAAGGGCTTAGGAACCTACATATTAAATGAGTTCCCTGGGGTGATTGTAAAATACACAATAGTTTAAGAAGCATTGGTGGCTATGATTATGGCTCATGCCTGTAATCCTGGCACTTTGGGAGGCTGAGGTGGACAGATCACTTGAGGTCAGGAGTTCAACACCAGCCTGGCCAACATGGTGAGACCCCCCCAACCTCTGCTAAAAATACAAAAATTAGGCCGGGCGCGGTGGCTCAAGCCTGTAATCCCAGCACTTTGGGAGGCCGAGACGGGCGGATCACGAGGTCAAGAGATCGAGACCATCCTGGCTAACACGGTGAAACCCCGTCTCTACTAAAAAAAAAAAAAAAAAAAAAAAAAAAATACAAAAATTAGCCAGGCGTGGTGGCGGGCGCCTGTAGTCCCAGCTACTCGGGAGGCTGAGGCGTGGAGAATGGCGTGGAACCCGGGGGCGGAGCTTGCAGTGAGCTGAGATCCTGCCACGTACTCCAGCCTGGGTGATGGGAGCGAGACTCCGCTCCAAAAAAAAAAAAAAATACAAAAATTAGCTGAGGTAGTGGCACTGGCCTGTAGTCCCAGCTACTCAGGAGGCTGACGAGGAGAGTCACTTGAACTTGGGAGGCAAGGCTGCAGTGAGCCCAGATGAGCCACTGCACTCCAGCCTGTGTGACATAATGAAACTCTGTCTCAAAAAAAAAAAAAAAAAAAAGAAAAAGAAAAGAAAGAGAAAGAAGGAAAGAAGGAAAGAAAGAAGAAAGAGCGAGACAGAGAGAAAAGAAAAGAAAAGAAAAGAAAAGAAAAGAAAAGAAAAGAAAAGAAAAGAAAGAAGCATTGATATTGACATTTACATAGGGAGGGGAGGGGTCCCAAAGCCCCAGCTCCACCACCCAAACTCCAGGTCCCAGGTAGGAAGCAGAGGCACTTTCTCTGTGCCCCTTTATGGCAAGGGTGGGGAGGTTGGGGGTAGAAAAAGGATAGGGGTCCTCTCCTATCATTTTCTAAATGTTGGGGGATTTAAATCTTGATGCATCTGGGTTCCTTGGGAACTTAATGGAGGGTGTACACTGCAGGCCAAAAGCAGTTCTCTCAAAAGCAGTTCTCTCTGCACAGGGGGCCTCTGGGCCTGGAGAGCGGGGACAGGAGCCCAGAGAGTCTGCTGCCTCCGATGCTGCTTCAGCCCCCTCAAGAAAGTGTGGAGTCTGCAGGGCCTCTAGATGTGAGTACCCCTTCTGCTGAAACAGGGGCATGAAACCTGGTGGGGTCTAGCTCTCTGTGGAGCCTGGAGAGGGCACCACTGACCCAGAGCTCTCCTCAGGTGCTGGGCCCCAGTCTCCAAGGGCGAGAATGGACCCTGATGGACTTGGACATGGAGCTGTCCTTGGTAAGAAGTGGATCGGGGAGGGCAGAGGCCAGGGGTGGCTGAGCCAAGCCCTCTGGCCCGTAGCTGTTCTCTGTGAGCCAGAGCCATGTCTCTAGGAGAATTGCCGCAGTGATTTCCCAGCTGTTCCCCTCAGCTGCTAGGTCCCCTCCCCAGCTGCTCCCTGCGGTTCTCATGCAGATGCAGCCCTTGGTTCCAGAGCGGGGTGAGCCTGAGCTGGCGGTCAAGGGGTTAAATTCTCCAAGCCCAGGTAATGGTTGTGATGACTCATACCTGGGAGGACGCCGTGATTGGGCTGAGCTACCTTGATTGAGTGAGGGGGCAATCTGCAATTTGCAGGGAAATCCTGAGTTCAGGCTGCCCTGCAGAGCGCGTTCATTGAGCCCCCCGTGCCCTCACCACTGGGCGAGAGTGGGGAGGTTAAGAATGGATGCTTCATCCTAACTGAGCAGAAGGCAGGCAGGCAGGGCTCTCCTTCCCTGAAGAAAGGAGGGGGAACCTTTCCCCTGGTGAGCACAGCCCCACTTCTCCTAGGGAAGGACCCCACGCTCGGGGCCCCACTCCTGCTGGATGTCCAGGCAGCCTTGGGAGGCCCAGCCCTGGGCCTGCCTGGGGCTTTAACCATTTACAGCACTCCTGAGAGCCGGACCGCCTCCTACTTGGGCTCTGAAGCCAGTCCCTCCCCCTGAGACCCCGCGCCTCTGAAGGGGCTTGGAACCAGTCCGCGGCTGCACATCCTTCTTGGCTTCCTGGCGCCCCCTGGCGGGAGTGAGCGAAGCCCCTGCTATTCAACGGCCTCTCTCCACTACCCCGACGAACCCTGCACATAAACTCCATTTTTTTTTTCTGTTTCGGATCTCTTTTCTCTATCGACCAGGCAGCACAGGAGTTGTGGGTGGGGGGTGATTTTGCACTGTAGAAGCGTCCAGATACTAGGTCTTTAATAGAGGAACCCCAGGAGGGTGGAGGTGCTTGGGGATCCGGTGTCTAGCTCCCTTGCTTAGGCCCGGATCCAGGGCTGACGCGGCGCCGCTGCAATCTCTGGGAAGCGGGGGCTTCTGAGTCGCACTCAGCTCTGCAATGCATGCGTTCTGTGATCCTGGGTGAGTTGGTACCCTTCTCTGAACTTCGTCTGTGACAGGCAGAGAAGAGGGGTCGATGACAAGATAGATGGAAAGCACCTGGAAATTGGCAGGCCCTGAGTGGGCACTGGACGTGTGGGGCCGCGGGCCGAACTGCCCCCTCCCGGCCTCATCTCCTGGTGCGCCCCGGGTGGGAAGGGAAAGCTGACTACGTGCACGTCCCCAGCCAGCGCGCGGCTTCCGCGGCGTGGCTCCCAGTGCCCGGGGAAGAACCCTCACCCTCCCTATTCCCAGCAGCCCTGGCCGCCCCGCCCCCGCCACAGCTGCTGCACCCACCCCCACCCTGCCCGGGCCTTTCTGCACCGTCATCTCCTGCACCGCCGAGGCTCGACCCGTGAGTGGGGCCGCCCAAAACGGGCCAGACCTGGAGCCCCACTCCTGGCTGTGGGAGGGACGGGAAACAGAGATTGGGCAGAATCAGCGACCCGTCACCGGCTGCGGCGCTCGGGGTGAGGTCTGTGGGCCCCGCCCTGCCGCAGGACTCTCAAGCTCTGGGACTGGGTGAGCTCTGGGAGGTAAGGCGGGGGGCGGGGAATCCGTGCGGCCGCACATGCGCAAAGGCTCTTCAGTGTCCCAAGACCCCGGCTTCCCCGCCAAAGAGCCCGCGCAGCTAGGTGGCGTTGGGGACTAGGACCCAGCTCCACACCCCGCCACGTGGCTCTCTGGGAAGCATCGGACCTGTCACCCTCGAAGGACTGGCCGCTAAATAACTTCGGTATTGAGAGCTCTGAGAGCCTCAAAGGGAGGGCCCAGACCAGCTGGAGTCACTACCCCTAGACAGGATAAAGGGCAGGACTTGGGGTCATAGGAGGTGGAGGCTAACATGAAAACAACGTAAGCTGGAGAGAAGGAGGGGGCAATCCAATCTGCACCCTCCCTGTGTCTGTCCCAAGTAGGTGCTGTCCCCCTCTCCCTATGCCCACCAATTGGAGGGACACTCTTAGGAAGCCTCAGTTGAAGAAAGCAGATAATCGGCATGTACACAGTGCAGTGATGTCAATTAATGCGGTGGTGAGGGCATATGTTGTTCACTGGGTACACAGAAGAAGGAACCACCTGCCCTTGGGACACTTAGACGTTGGTGTAGACAAGGGAACATTTGAGTCCCGGAGGATGGATAGGTTCATGAAGAGGAGGGAGGGGGAAAGGATTCCAGTCTTAGCGATCAGCATCAGCAAAGGCTCCGAGGTGCCAGGGGCATAGTGAGTTCTCCCAGCCCTGACTCGTGGAGGGAAGCTGGGAAGGGCCTGGCTGTCCAGAGTGGTGGGAGGAGGCTAGAGTAGCCAGACCAGATACTTTTGGTTCTCTCTGATGGGCAGTGGGGTTGGCGGGGGGAGGTAGATAGGTATTTAGGATGGAATTCTGCTAGACAGGAAAATATAGTTAAGTTCCTCATAGTTCAGGCTGGAGCAAGTAAGATTCCAGTTTTACCACTGAATCTCTGAGCCTGTCTCTTTCCTTATCTGTAAAATAGGAACAGCAATCCTAGCCCAGAGAGTTGTCAAAATCACTGTGCTATGGGGCCTAGTGGAATGGGAGTGAGAGGGGCTCAGAGGAACTGTTACAGGACATGAGGTGACGATGGTGGGGTGGCAAGGCAGGAGCTGATGGAGAAGTGAAGCAATACTCATCACAGATGGGACATAAAGGGAGATGGAGGGGCAGGGGGTAGTCCTGGTCTTGGCTCGGTGGCCCAGGGGAAGGGCTTCAATAGGAGGGAGCCAGGGTGTGACGGGGGAGGTATAGCATGACACCAGAGGGTAGTGAGAGAGACCTGGGAGGCAGGATGGCAGCTGGGACCAAATTCTCTCTCCCAGAGAAGGTCCAGCCTCCTAGAGCCAGGGAAGGAGGCGGAGGAGGGACAGCAAAAGGAAGAAGAGATGGGAGGATGCCTTGTGAACAAAGCCAAGGTGGGGAGGAAGGGAGGTTTTATGGGGGTGGGGGTGGGCTGAGGGCATGGTCCAAGACCTGATGTCTTTGCCTCCTAATGCCGGGGGTCTTGCTGGCTGGGTAAAGTCACTCACAGGAATGGGCCATAATCCTTGGTTGGCAATAAATGGACAAAGCAACCGGGTGCGGTGGCTCATGTCTGTAATCCCAACACTTTGGCAGGCCAAAGTGGGTGGATCACAAGGTCAGGTGTTCGAGACCAGCCTAGCCAACATTGTGAAACACCAACACCGTCTCTACTAAAAACACAAAAAATTAGCTGAGCGTGGTGGCAGGTGCCTGTAGTCTCAGCTACTTGGGAGGTTGAGGTAGGAGAATCACTTGAACCCAAGAGGCGGAGGTTGCAGTGAGGAGAGAATGTGCCACTGCACTCCAGCCTGGGCAACAGAGTGAGACTCTGTCTCAAAAACAAAACAAAACAAAACAAAAAAAGGATAAAGCAGATTAATTCTCCCTAATAGCTGCTGTTGGTAGAGATAGTCTCTCAAGAGTAATCCCAGCACTTTGGGAGGCTGAGATGGGAGGATTGCTCCAGGCCAGCAGTTCGAGACCAGCCTGGTCAATATAGCAAGACCAGGCCCGGCAGGTGGCTCACGCCTGTAATCCCAGCACTTTGGGAGCCCGAGGCAGGCGGATCACGAAGTCAGGAGTTTGAGACCAGCCTGGCCAACATAGTGAAACCCCGTCTGTACTAAAAAAAATAAAAGAATAAATACAAAAAATATATAGCAAGACCCCACCTCTTAAAACAAAAATTAAAAAAAAAAAAGGTCGGGCTTGGTGGTTCACACCTGTAATCCCAGCACTTTGAGAGGCCAAGGCGGGTGGATCTTTTGAAGGCAGGAGTTCAAGACCAGCCTGGCCAATAAGGTGAAACCCTGTCTTTACTAAAAATTCAAAAATCAGCCGGGCATGGTGGTATGCGCATGTAATCCCAGCTACTCTGGAGGCTGAGGCATGAGAATCACTTGAGCCTAGGAGGCAGAGGTTGCAGTGAGCCGAGATTGTGCCACTGCACTCCAGCCTGGGCAACAGCAAAACTCCATCTCAAAAAAAAAAAAAAAAAAAGGTCTCTCAAAATAGGGCAATCTATGGAGGAAAATCAGTCCAAGTTCGGCAAGCATTTGTCAGTAGCTTGTGTGAGCTAGGCCCTGGGTACTTCAAGATCAAACAACAAATGTCTGTAGGTCATTCCGAGGTCAGCAGGGAGCGAGGTGGGTCAGCAGGGAGACAGTCACATTGGGAGTTAGGGCTTCAGCAGGGAGACAGGTGGGTCTCAGGTGATGTCAAGAGATCTCGGTCAGAGCTAGGCCTGAAGAAGGTTCTGGTGTCTCTGCTCAGGAATCAGGGGACCAGGATGGGCCATGAGACCACACTGGGGTTGCATCATGGTGTTGGTGTTGGTGGGAGGGTGCAGAGGCAGGGCTTGTCGTGGAAAGTTGGATCTCAGGGTCAAGGTAAGGGGAGAAAGGCAGGGAGGCTCTCAGCACTTTGTGCTCTGGGTGCAGAGGGGACTGGTGGGTAGAGTATGGAAGCAGAGAGCTCTAGTCCTGGATTCTGCAGGGCCAAAGCAGGAGGCAGAAGGCTGGACTTAGTAAGTAGTGAGGATAGTGAGAGAAATATTCAGCAGTCAGACTGCAAAGGACTTGTCTGCAAGCTGGGTGTAGAGTATCAGCATCAATCCTAGGTTTTTCTGCCTGGTTAGGTGGTGAAGCAGATTTGAGAGAAAGACCTTAGTTTGGATAAACGGGGTCTGAATCCGCCTCTGATTAGCTCAGGAGGTCCTGGTTGGGGAGGGCACTCAGAGAGTAGACAGAGTCCTGGGAAAGGCAGGGGAGGAGAAGAGATTCACAGCTGACGTTTGGGGACAGAAGGAGGAGCCTGAGGAGGAGACAGGACAGAAGCGTCTGGAGAGGCAGGAGGACACTGAGTTCCCTGTGTTGGCCTCCAGGTCCTGTGCTTGCGGAGACCACTGGCGGCTGGAATCAAGGTGAACTTAGACCCCAGCCCGGGTGTTCACTGGGGGCAATGAGAGAGAGGTCACAGGCGGCGAGGGTAGGGGGGAGGGCAGCCCTCCATTACTTCTCTCCCCTTTCTCCATGCAGGCCTGACAATGGGCAACGCGCAGGAGCGGCCGTCGGAGACTATAGACCGCGAGAGGAAACGCCTGGTCGAGACATTGCAGGCGGACTCGGGGCTGCTGCTGGACGCGCTGTTGGCGCGAGGCGTGCTCACCGGGCCAGAGTACGAGGCATTGGATGCACTGCCTGATGCCGAGCGGAGGGTGCGCCGCCTACTGCTGCTGGTGCAGGGCAAGGGCGAGGCCGCCTGCCAGGAGCTGCTGCGCTGTGCCCAGCGTACCGCAGGCGCGCCTGACCCCGCCTGGGACTGGCAGCACGTGGGTCCGGGTGAGCGCTCGGGGCGGGGCCTAGGGCAGAGCTGGGACGGGGCTGGGGCGGACCAAAGGCCCGGGGAGGGCGGGGTTGTCGTCTCCCCTAGAAGTAGGAGAGTGTGAAACCTCACAGGGATAAATTGAGCCTCAGTCACTCCCACTTCCGCCCCAGGTTACCGGGACCGCAGCTATGACCCTCCATGCCCAGGCCACTGGACGCCGGAGGCACCCGGCTCGGGGACCACATGCCCCGGGTTGCCCAGAGCTTCAGACACCGACGAGGCCGGGGGCCTCGAGGGCTGCGAGGCGGTGCAATCCGGGACCCCAGAGGAACCAGAGCCAGAGCTGGAAGCAGAGGCCTCTGAAGAGGCTGAACTGGAGCCAGAGCCAGAGCTGGAACCCGAACCTGAAGCAGAACCAGAGCCGGAACTGGAGCCAGAACCAGACCCAGAGCCTGAGCCCGACTTCGAGGAAGGGGATGAGTCGGAAGGTGTGAGGCCACCCAAACCCTGAGCCGGCTTGGTGGGAGGGCATGGCCTGGGAAGTGGATGCGGGACCCCAACTCTTTGACCACTGTTCCCCTCATCTCTAGATTCCTGAAGGCCAGAACTCTGACTGGCCATGCCCCGCCCATGCTGGATAGGACCTGGGATGCTGCTGGAGCCGAATCGGATGCCACCAAGGCTCAGTCCAGCCCAGTACTTCTGGAAGTGAATAAACTCCGGAGGGTCCACCGGGACCTGGGCTCTCTCCACGATTCTGGCTATTTGCCCAGGAACGGAGGGTGGGTACCTCTGAGTCCCAGGAACCTGGGCAGCCCCAAGCCTACCACAAGCATTATCCAGTCCTCAGCCCTAATCTGCCCTTAGGAGTCCAGGCTGCACCCTGGAGATCCCAGACTAATCCCCTTAGTGGGACAAGGACCTGACCCTCATGCCCGCATACACAACCCATTTTCCCTCATGAGCCACTTGGCAGCCTGTGTAGGTACCAGCTTAACCCCATGCAAGTCCCTGGGCTGAACATGGAGCAAGGGGAGGGTGACTTCTCTCCATGCAGGGAGGGCTTAGAGCTCACAGCCTTGGGAAGTGAGATTAGAAGAGGGGAGCAGAAAGGGACCTTGGGTAGACAGAGGCCACACACATCATTGTCATTACTGTTTTAATTGTCTGGCTTCCCTCTGAACTGGGAGCTCAGTGAGGACTCTGACCAGTAACTTACACAAAAGGCGCTCTATACATATTATAATATATTCAATGACTAAATGAACAAGGACTTTCCAACTGTGTTTCTGAGTTTTGCAGATGGGAAAACTAAGGCCAAAGGATAGGAGTGGGGCTCATACAGCTAAGTCTGAAGGGAAACTGGAAGCAGCAACCACCTCTGCACCTCACCTGGTCCAAGAGGGGTTCAGGACTTGGGCCACCAAACTCTAGGGCCTGTCCCTCAGGCGCAATTGCAGCTGCTCCTAGGCTATGCCAACCTCTGCTAGAGAGCAGCTGTAAGGGTGTGAGCAAAGACAGGAACAGCAGAGGCCAGTAGAGGGAGTGGTGACAGGGCCAAGGGAGCTCTTGGGCTTGACTCTCAAGGCCTGAATCACTGTGTGTGTGTGTGTGTGTGTGTGTGTAATGGGAGTGGGGCTGGGAAAATTGGTGCCTTCCAGGAAGGAATGTCCTGTTCCCCCGCCCACAAAACCTTCAGGAGCTGCTGCTCCCAGTCACAGGAAGTAGACCATATAAATATGGAATAAATATATGACCAGTGACAGAGGCAAAATGTCAGAAAGCAGACCCCAGACCAGCTGGGTCTCTACTACCAGGACCCCAGGCTCAGGCCATCAATCACCCCAGGAGAAGAGATCCCAACCCCCACCAGGACCCAGTGAGAGGTAGACAGCACGACTGCTGAAGGAGCACCAAGGGGCCAGGTGAGGGAAGGGAGACTGGAGTACTGGGACAACCAAAGCCATCTCATGCAAGAACAAGTTTCTATTCCCAAACCACCCCCATCCCCATCAATGCCAAGCTCCCTTCCTGCCCCCATGCCTTCCCTCTGCTCAACAGAGAGCTGGAGGCAGGAGGGGGACTCAGTTTGCCAGACATGCTGCTGCAGGTCCCCAGGCCCCAGGGAGGCTAGCAAGGGACACAAACCCTTTGATGTTGCCACTCCTCCTCAAGGAATGCTCCTGCCCTCCCAACACCCCCAAGAAACACCCAGGCCGTGGAAGCACGGAGCAAACAGCTTCATGTTCTGGGGGCCTATTTGGAGCTTCTGTCCAGGGCCTCTGTCTGCAGCCCTCAACGGACATCAGTCAGGTAGCAGGCGACCCAGCTCTGCCTCATCCAGCCGGTTGGTGGCCATAATGTGCTCCAGCTGCTGCCGGTAGCGTGCCAAGTCCTGCATGAAGTGGGGCACCCGGGTATTATCCAGCACCCCATGGGGCCGCAGGTGGTCCACATCCTCATAGGACACCTGCAGGAGGAAGCTGGGCATCAGGCATAGGCAGCGGCCCCTGGCTTTTAGGTAGTGGGTTCCAGCCCACTGCTTACGGCTCACTGCCCTTTGCTCCAGGACTCCCCTCCTGATCCACAATTAGCTACAACGTTTTATACCTCTAGACTCAATCCTTGGTCTTTGCTCTTTCTCTCAATAGTTTCTTTTTGTCATAGATGCCCTATAACCCCACTTCTCTCTCTAGCCCAGGCTCTCCCCTCACCTCCAAACATGGACATCCAACTGCCTCCTTAATGTCTTCCCCTGGATAGCCCTCAGGGTGGCCCCATGTCCAACAGTCAACTCCTGAGTTCCAGCTTATGCCAGCTCCACCCTCTTCATAGTCACCCAGGTCAGATTCCAGGGAGGGGGCTTGGACTCTCACCCTCCCATCATGGTAGCCACTGAGTTAAAAGGATTCCCCTCTCTGAAGAGCTCTCCAGCTCATTCTTTCATCTCCAACCCAATGGCCACTGCCTGGTTAGGCCAGACCACCATCCCTTCTGCAGGAGTGACAGGAAAGGCCTCCTCCATGCCCCTGCACTCCCTTCCCTAGTCCTCTCTCCAATCCACCTCCCATATGACGTCCAGAAGTAGCCTTCTGAAGCAAATATCAGTGTCAGTCCTCTGCTTAAAGCTCCTCCCACCCCCCCGTTGCTTCAGATGAAGTCTGCTTTCCTCGGCCTGGCACAAATGCCAGTGCCAGGGAGTTGCTCCCTGGCCATTTCTGCAGTCTCCTTCCCCTGGCCTTCCCCCGATGGCTCCCTTGGCCTGGAATGCTCACCTCCTTTGAGATGCAGTATTTACATACACCTGCAGCCTCCGTTAAGCACCTGGTTTTGCTGCCAGTCATTTCATCTCCTGTTCTCACTTCCACCCACACTCCCCCCACCACCAGAGGCCTGGCACCCAGGCCTCGGTCTAGCACCAATCCGAGGCTCAGGGAATTCTACAGCGAGGCAGGGAGCTGGCCGGAACCTCTGAAGGTCCACAGCCCCTCACCTTGCCCAGTGAGGTCAGCAGCGGGAAATCGATGGTCTGGCGATGTCGCAGAATGCGCACGATGCCGTCCAGGTACACCTGGTCCTTGCTGAAACAACCTGGGAGCGCAGGAAGGCGGTGAGCCCCTCGACCGAGGCCCTGCCCCTCTCCCCGCCCCCACCCCGCTCTAAGCACCTCCCCTGCGCTGGCGCCCACCTGGCAGCGAGGTGTCGGTCTGGCCGCGCTTGGCACGCACGCAATACTCCCAGCGCACGTCGGCGTCCTGCACGTAGCGCGCCAGGTCCTGGAAGAGCTGACGGAAGGACATGCGCGCGGCGCGGTGGATGGTGTAGTAGAGCAGCGCAGCGCGCCACAAGAACGGCTGCTTGCGGAACAGCACGCTGTGTAGGCTGGCCAGGCCCTCCTCCGTGGGGTTAGCCGGCCGCAGCCCGTACCGCAGCCGGCCCTCCGCGTTGTGCCACGGCTGGCGCGCGTTGTTCACGCCCCGCAGGTAATGGGTGCCTGCGGGGAAGGCGAGGGGAGGCGGCGCTGGGTAGGGCGTTCAGGGACCCGCCTGTGAGCCCCGTCCTGGCCCCTCTCCACCTGGCGGGGCTCTGGCCGGGACACTTCCATCCTCATGCTCCCAAACTCAGGCTCGCACAGAAGTTCTCCCAGCCCCAGGCAGCGTGAAGCTCCTCCTCCGGTGGACTCGCACCCAAGGATCCACAGAGGCTCACATACATGAATCCTCTCCCACCCATCCGCCCCCCACCTTACACCCACGCACCCACACACGTGCACGAACTCTCCCGAAATGACATTGGCCCCAGCCCTCCTGGGCACAAGAATACATATACCACCCTGCCCAACATCCTGGGTGCCCACATCATCTTGAACAGTCACGCTGATGCACCCGGTAAAAAACACCTCTTGCCCAGAGCAATAGGATTCTCGAGGAAGAGGGACAGACAGAGAGGAATAGCGGTGAGTGCCCTGCACCCTCCTGCCCAGCCTGGCCAGTCCCCTCCTAAACCAGGCGCCATGTGTCCTCAAGCCAAGTCCATTCCCAGGATCTGGCCTTCCATCCACCCTGGAGGGCCCGTGTGGCGGCTGGCCTGGTGGGACCCTGAGGCTTCTCCTTCTGGCCTGTCAGGGCCTCACCAGCCTTACCCCCACTGTCGAGAGAAGTCAGAGAGGAAGTGGAGAGAGAAAAATATACCCGAAAGGACCAAGAGATGAGGGCGAGCCCAGAGCATGGGCAGGCACGTTCTGGCCTACCTCTGTGAGCCAGAGGGCAGAGTTGGCTGCTCAGGAAGGGAAAGCCCTGACCTCAGAAGGGAAGGGGTGGAAACAAAAGGGGGAGTTATCGGGGCCCCTCCTTCCCACCCCTCCCAGCTCCCAGGCCCCTTTCATGCCTACCCATCCACCCGGATACCCACACCCTGACCTATCTCATGCCGCAGCATGCCCTCCAACCAGTACTGGCGGGCTCCGGTCAGGTTGATCGCCAATGTGGGCCGGCTGTTCTCCACCATCATCACTGCCTGGGACAGCAGGTCCTCACTCAGCTGCACCACAACCTGCAGGTGGCAGTGCTCTGAGCCATGGCCACCAGCCTGGGGCCAGGGTGCAGGTGGACCCAATGATGCCACAGGGCAGCAGGGCCAGACAATTGGCCAGGGCACCCGCGCTTCATCACCTCTGCTCAGAACCAGCTCCCACCTCGCTGGGGGGGGGGGCAGGGGTGGGTCATGTGTGGAGCTGGACCTGGGGTCACCCACAAGACACCCTGATTTGGGGCATGTAGAGGAAGGGCTCTGCAGGCAAGCTCACCTCCCCAACGCAGCCCTCCTTCTGCATGTATTTGCGCACAATGGACCATATCTGGCACTTGGTGAGCAGCTGCCCCCCGGTGGCAGCCTCAAAGTGTTCATAGGTTCCAAACTTCTCCAGAACAGCCTCAATGATGCCAACTGCCTGTACACGGGGCCACAGTGGCTGATCAGGACAAGCCCCTTGGGTGGTCAGGGCCAGGGTATGGTGGGGAGGCTGGACTGACCTGATGGATGAACTGTCCAGAGGCCTCGCAGTACTTCTCCAGCACAGCTGTGGGCATGGGCTCCTGGTACTCGAACTGTGGATTGTAGGTGTAATGGGACTGGAAGAACTTGTCCCGCTCACGGTCCATATTGGTTGGCCGCAGGGCCACCAACATGCAGGGGCTCTTGCTGGCACTATGGCCTGCATCCCTTTGAGTCTTAGCAATGTGAGGCAGGGAGGCTGCAGGCCGCAGGGTGCCCCCACCTGGGTTCTGTCCCCGTCCAGGTGGAGGCCGTCCCAGGGTGCCACGTCCCCGCCGGCCAGTACTATTTACAGAGTAGGTGCTCTCACTGCGACGCATGTGGCCACGGTGGCCCAGGTGCATCTGTGAGAAGGGCTGCTGCTCAGGCTCGGGCTGCAGTGTTGGGGGGACTGCCAGAGCCAGGGGCAAGGCCAGGGACTGAGACCAGGGGTACAGTGGTGGCCCATCTCGGTCTGAGGGCTTCAGCCTATGGCGCAGGGATGGGGGACTGGTAGGCGGGCTGGGGGGTGCCTGATCATACGCCTGAGCCCCGGAGTCCAGCACCATTCTGTCTTGGGGGTCACATCCAGCCGGGTCACTCCAACTCCCGACACTGTCGACCTCTGGGGACACAGAAGGGCATGTGGAGACCAGCATGAGTGGGTGTGATCAAACGACCAGCAGGCCCTGTACTCCACATTGCCTCTGCTGGGCCCTTGGTGGGCCCAGGCTCTGCTACCAGGGGTCTGATTGGCTGCAGCGTCCATTGCCTCCAGCAGACTCACCCGAGTATGCTGGGCCGGGGGAAAGCACTTTTGTTTTTGTTTTTGCTCTTTGAGATGGGGTCTTGCTCTGTCACCCAAGGTGGAGTGTAGTGCAATGATCGTAGCTCATTGCAGCCTCCAACTCCTGGCCGCAAGTAGTCCTCCCGCCTCAGCCTCCCAAAGTGCTGGAATTAAACGCGTGAGCCACCGCATCCAGCCGAAAGCAAGTTTTAAACACCCACCTAGATGGTGGTTACTGGAATCCTTTCAGCCTGAGCTCCTGAAGGCAAGGACTGAGCCCCTTACTCGTGATTCTAACCTCTGTACTCAGCACTCACTTAATCTGGGAGGTGGTACAGTGCGACTTCAGCTGCCTGGGCAGATTAGGTAGGTGAGAAAGCCTCAGGGGCTGCCTTCTGCCTATGGCATCTTCTCAGTGCCACCCCTGCCCACCCACCTGGCTTTACCCACATCATCCTGCCCATTTGGCCTCAGTCAGTTTCAATGTCTGAGGGCCCCATGCTTACGCCAGTACCCCCCAGAATGCCTTCTCTCCTCTGAGCCATCTGTTGAAATCCAAGTTAGAATCTGCTTTTGGGGAACAGAAGGAAGCTTCAGCAAATCCAAGCCAATCCCTGGCTTGTCACCTATCTGAGGAATCTTTCCAGTGGTCATCCAAAGCCAGTGTCAGGGCGCTCACCCTGACTCTGTTCCAGGACTCAGTCCAATCTTGTCTCTCCCCCGAGACTGCCCGGAGAGGCTGCAGCTGCTGAGCTTCCTTGCCTGCTCAGCGACTCACTTCCATCACTTCCTACATCATCAATCTCTTCCTCTCTACTGGAGTCTTTCCATCAGCATAAACACATGCTGTTATTTCTCCATCTTAAAAAACAAAACAAAACCCTCACTAGAACCCACACTCCTCCAGTTACAGCCCCACTGCATCTTCCTCCATCTGCTGCTATTGCAGCACATACCTGGAGTCATCTATACCCAGTCTGCAGTTCCTTCTTTCCTGTTCTCTCTTAAATACACTCCAATTAGCCTTTTATTCCCGGCACTCCATCCAAATTGATCTAATCAAGGTCACCAATGACCAGCAATGACCTTCATATTGATCAGCACCCGATACAGTTAATCACTGCATCCTGGAGGCCAGGCAGGGTGGCTCACACCTGTAATCCCAGCACTTTGGGAGGCTGAGGTGGGCGGATCACCTGAGGTTGGGAGTTTGAGACCAGCATGACCAACATGGAGAAACCCCGTCTCTACTAAAAATACAAAATTAGCTGGGCATGGTGGCACATGTCTGTAATCCTAGCTACTCGGGAGACTGAGGTAAGAGAATCGCTTGAACCTGGGAGGCAGAGGTTGCAGTGAGCCAAGATTGCACCACTGCACTCCAGCCTGGGCAACAACAGCGAAACTCCGTCTCAAAAAAAAAAAAAAAAAAAAAAAAATCACTGCATCCTGGAAACATCCTGTCCACTTGGTTTTCCAAAGACACTAGAACTTAGTTCTCCTCCTACCTTGCTGGTCATCCCTATCTCCCTGACCTCTTAACACTGTAACGCTCCAGGATTTGTCTATGGAAACTTCTCCATTTATGTTCACTCTCTAGGTGTTCTCATCCACTCTCGTGGTTTTAAATACAGTAGCTCAGACTTCTTCCATAAAAACTTTAGACCAGTGTTGCCAATTTTGGTGCAATTTGACATAGTGTCTATTTGCCCAGGCTGGTCTTGAATTCCTGGCCTCAAGCGATCTTCCCACCTCAGCTTTCCAAGTAGCTGGAACCAAAGGCACATGCCATCATGTCCAGCTTCAGTGCACTGTCGTCACTTGAATGTTTAACAGGCATATCAGAATATGTTCTCTGTCTGGGATGTTCCTCCCCCTATATAATGGCATGGGTCACTTTCTCACTTTCCTCAAATCTCTGCATCAATGCCATGTTATTAGAAAAGCCTCTCTAACACACCCTCTATAAAATAGTAAACCTCCTCTCCCCTCTCCACTATCTTCCCTTCCCCAAATTATTGTTCTCTCTAGCAGTCATCACCATCACTTCAGTATACTTTATATTTGAATGATAGGTATATTGATAGTTATCTGTTTTATCCTTTCCAACATTCACAGTATGTCCCCAGAACCCAGAACAGTGCCTGGCCCGCAGCAGTTGCTCAATAAATAAATGAATCCAAGAGCCCTTCTTTCAGAACTAGAATTATTCCTTCCCTGAACTTTGCTTCCCTATCTAGACCTCATCTTCCCCCTCTCCACTCCCCTCTACCCTGCCTAATGACCAGCTGCTTGAAAAGACTTCAGGTCCCAGGTTTCACTCCCTTTAACTAACTGTACACTTTTTTGGACTCCTCACCCCTTTACAGGCTTCTGCCTGGCCCAGTCCCCTCCATCTCCCCTTCTTTCATTCGACATACCTCCTCGAAATTACCAGAATACGCCTGTTTCTTTCACGTCTCAGGTCCTTCCGCCAAGAATGCCTTTGCAATATATTCCTGGAGCAAACTCAACCATTCTTCAAGGCTCAGTTTAGGCCTCACTTCCTCCAGGAAGCCTTCCCCGCGTCTAGTGTCCCACTGCTTCGGCGACTTCTTTACTCAGAGCTGTCACTGTCGGAGCCTAGGTCCGTGTTCTCCCACCATCCCCTGAACTCCCCGAAGGCAGGAACGGGGTCTGATTCAACCCCCTGTACCAAGCACCCAGCACTAGGTGCATAATGAATGAAGGATAGATGGGGGAGGAGCCCGCGACTACTAAAGGTGGGGTCTGGTGACAAATGAGAGGGTGTGGCCTGTGCGGATAAGCAGCCCCGGGAGAGGACAAGGTGAAGAGCCAATGGGGAACCAGAAATTGAGGAGGGGCGTGACCTGTAGCCAATAAGCGGTGGGGGATAAGGCGAAGGGCGTGTCCAATGGAGGGTGGGGCCAGGAGACAATGGAGTGGAGGGTTCTCCGGGAGATCAGGAAAGGTCGCGTCGCGCGCCTCCTCCCGGCGTTTGGGGGGGTCCGTCCGCGTGCGGTGCCCCCACCTGTTCGCCCTTTTTCTTGCCGCCCGCCGCTCCAGTTCTGCTACACCGGTCACCGGCCGCCCGGCGGGAGCCGACGCCGATGACGTACGTCCTCGGGCGCGCGCACGCTCTTACGAAAGCGGGGAGCTTCTCGTCGGTCTCCACGGCGGCGCGCCCCCGAAGCCGCTGGGAGCGAAGCCAGGCAGGGCTGAGGGGGTGGTGTTCGTGGTCCTGGGCCCGCCCCCTTCCCAAGACCCCAGCGAGTTACTGGGCTTCAGGGGCTCCCAGGTGGCCAGGGCGGCCGAGACTCTTGCTCACGGCCTGGGCGCGGAGACGTGGGGGCGTAGCCCGCGGCCTCGGGAACGCAGTCCGCACAGAGGGCAAATGCCTGCATAGGCGGGGCGCAGCCCGTATACCAGGTCGGGAGCCAGGATACGTTAAGCGTGTCACTGTGCAAGGATTCCCTGAACCCTCGTGAGCACTTTTATTCCATCCCACCTTCCCCAACACACACACACTCAGGCGTCCGGGAGCCGTGGTTTATTCTGAGAGCAGCCGGGCTCGGGCGCAGGACCCCGAGGGCAAGCAGGAGGCCGGCGCGGGCGCTGGGGCGGGCACGAGGCTGAAAAGAGCGCGGCGGCTAGCGCGGGGCGAGGGCGGCAGCGCAGCCTGAAGCGAGCTGAGAGCGGCCAGTTGCTGCTCCCGGGACAAGTCACCGCGCAGGCCCAAGAGGGCGGAGACGTGGTCCTCGCTGCAGGGGCACCAAGGAGGCGTGTCAGCCCCGTTCTCCCCGCCCTCCGGCTTCTCCTCCCTCCTGGACCCCCGTCCGCACCTCACGTCGGGAAACTGTTGCTGCAGGCCAGCCACCTCCAGGCCCAGCAGCGCGGGGTCGCGGAGGTTTAGCAGCTCCCTCAGGGCGAGCAGCACCGGCGCGCAGTGCGCGTTCTCCTCCAGGCCCTGAGCACGTCGGGGTAGGGTCTCGCGCCAGCCCTCGTCTCCCACCCAACCACTGAGACTCTCGCCCGTCTGCCCGCCAAGAAGCTCTCACCAAACCGAGGAAAAGCTGCTGAAGCTGGGCAGCATCGTGCCGCAGGCGCTCGGCCGCCTGGGTCCTCTCCTCTGCTCCGCGGCACACCAGGCGGCCTTGCATCAGCGCGCGCAGGTACTGGAGCACCACGGCGCGCTCGGCCTCAGCCAGTAGCAGCTGCGGGGAGGCAATCAGGTGGGTGCAGGTCGCCTCTCTCACCCGCGCCGCCCCTTCCCCAGCCTTTTCCCCCAACGCACCTGAACCGTGGGGTTCCGCACGCGCCCGAAGTCCCGGCAGAAGCGCCCCGTCCGTTCGCACACACTTTCCAGCAGCTCAGGGCTCGACAGCCACTGGCGCGAGGGCAGGTCCGCGAACAGGGGCTGGGGAAATGATCCAGACCTGGCATTGCTGCGGAGACCCCCATTGTACGCTGTACCGCCACCTCTCCACCTCCTTCTCCCATCTTGACCTGAAGGAGGCCTCACCTGGAGCTCCACCTGCAGCGCCTCCAACACCAGGCGGCAGATCCTCCTCTGTAACTTGTCCAGCGCAGCTTCCACCGGAGCCAAGGCCCCTGAAGGCGCCCCGTCCAGCTGCAGGACAGACACTGAGGAGCTGGACCGAGCAAAACTACGGCTTCAGGACCAAGGCCAAGGCCCGCATGGCCCTCGGTGGTCCAGCCCCTCCGGCGCCACCTTGTGGGGCAAGTGTTTGATGGGAGGGAGCGAGAACAGCGGCTCCCTGCACTTCTGGTCTCAGGCATGGGCCAGCCCAGCGGGGACCTGCCTCTAATTCGCGGTGCGACCTTGAGCAAAACATTCTTTCTGTTTCTGTTTCCTCATTCGTAAAGGGAGGGAACTATCCCAGTGAGGAGGGAGTAAAAATCATCACTAACTTGTTTTCCTTGCCCCCACCAAAAAGAACATACCACCCAAGAGGAAGGGAGTGTGTGTGTGTGTGTGTGTGTGTGTGTGTACACACAGCTATAACCCCAGATATTACTGGCACAGAGTAGGGCCTTGAAATATTCGCTGGACGAATGAGCAATTGACATCATGTGCCAGGCACTATGGTAGGCACTTGACATGTTATCTCATGTGATTCTTGGAACATTCCATTAGTACCCACATAATACTAATGAGAAAAGTGAGATTCAGAGAGATTAGGTAACCCATCCAAGGTCACATAACTAGTAATTAGCAGAACTAGAATTGGAACCCCAGGGCGATGTGAGTCCAAAGTCCCTAGTGTCCTAGTGTGGGCTGGGCCCATACACAATAGGTACTCAATAGGGGGTTAGTGAAGGTGGGGTTCCCCGGGGGCCTTCTGGTACCTGAGTGCTGACTGGTGGTTGAGGGCGGCCAGTAGGTAGGGCACGTAATGAGGGACCATTGCTTTCCCCCTGAGGTGGTCTCGGGAGAATCGGATCAGAGCATCACTGAAGCTGCAATGGGCAGAGGTGGCTCCTGACTTGCTACTATGCTGGCACCCCCACAGCCCCAGTCCCTGGTACTCCTGTCCCACCTCCAAGATACCCAAGTCCTTGTTTGAAAGAGCCCTTTCCCTGTGATATGTCTTATTCACTCAGAGTCCCTTTCGGCTGCCTGGGGAGCAGGGATAGGGATCAGGAATGGGTCAGTGCCTCGACAGACCTCTTCAGGAATATGCCCAGTTCTGACAGTGCCATGCCATGCACTCGCTGTTGTAGTGACTCACTGACCAGGCTGGCCACACGAATGTTCTCTTCCAGGATCTGCAGGGAGAAATGAGCAGCCATCAGCAAAGCCTCCCTCCTTTCTCTCCTCCCCATTGCCCCATGGAGGGTGCCTGCCTGTCTGGCCACTTCCCACCTACCTGCAGCACGATGGCTGGCATTGGTGAGTAATAGGAGCCAGACGGGTCCGTGTTGGGCCCCTGCTCCCGGCCCCACTCAGCTACCTCCCCATCCAGTGCATTCTGCAGCCACTGGGACACGCTTGCCTGGAGGGAGGGGCCAGGGGCAAAGGAATGTAGCAGGGATCTGACCCTGCCGGAGATGGGTAGACATTCCACTCTGCAGATAAAGGCCCACAGCAGATGCATAGGACTGCTCTGGACCTTTGCCTCAACTACTCACCTGGACGTTGGCCACAAATGTTGCCTCCAGCTGCTCAATGTTCTCCAAGGTCAGGAGGGGCTCCAGCTGCGACACATCAGCCTCAGGCCCTAACTCCAGGCTCCCCATCATTTCCTGCCTGGAGATGGGTGGCCTGGTGTCACACCAAATCCCCAGCCTCTGATCCCCCACATCCCGCCACCCCAAAGGCACTGACCCCAGGTATACATGCAGTGCCCAGTGCAGCAAGGCGAAGGCATCCGCAGCTTCCAGCTCAGGCCCTGCAAGGAGGTGCTGCAGGCTGCGGCGCAGACCGCTATGCAGTGTGTGGGCCCATAGCTGGACCACATTGTACTGCGGTGGGCAGCAAGGCGCTACTAGTGCCTCAGCTGTGGCCAACTCAACTGGCAGGGCCACTCGCAGAGCCTCCAGCCACCCTGGTAGGGCCCCTGGCGCAGGCAGCAGAGGTGACCCAAAGTGGGTCTGCTCCAGGCCCTCCTGTAGTGCCCTCAGACAGCGCTGCCGCCAGTCCCGGGGGACCTGGCCCAGGGGGGTTGTTCGTCCAGTCTCCACCTCCGCCACACGCACAGCAGCCACCAGCAGGGCTGGGTCCTCCCGTGCCAGCTTCCCCGCGGCCCCTGCAGCTGCTTCCACAGCCTGGCCCAGTGCCTCGAACAGAAGGTCCAGCCCCTGGAAGACTGGCAACTCCAGGCCCCCCAGCGGTGCCCACGTATCCTCTCGAAGCTGCTCCAGCTCCCGAAGGCTCACATATGCCTCCAAGAACTGTTGGGCATCAATCAGGGTCTGTGTGTGGGCCACTGCAGCTGGCACTAATGAGAGTGGAAAGGAGATGGCCTTGGGTCTCAGCCTTCCCACCGCCTCAATGTGTACGGCAGGGGATACTGAGGCCTGGGGCTGGGGTGATGTATAAAATATTTAATAACCAGTAGAGTAGAGTAAGCTGGGCACAGTGGCTCATGCCTGTAATCCCAGCACTTCGGGAGGCCAAGGTGGGCAGATCACTTGAGGTCAGGAGTTTGAGACCAGCCTGGCCAACATGGTGAAATCCCATCTCTACTAAAAATACAAAAATTAGACAGGCATAGTGGCCTGTAATCCCAGCTACTTGCGAGGCTGAGGCAGGAGGATCGCTTGAACCTGGAATATGGAGGTTGCAGTGAACTGAGATCGCACCACTGCACTCCAGCCTAGGCAACAGAGTGAGACTGTCTCAAAAACAAAACAAAACAAAAAATGAACAAAAAACCATAAATACATTAAAAAAAAAAAAAAACCAGTAGAGTACTGGCCAATCTAAGAGGATCTTGGCAATGTCCTGGTGGGCCAGAGGTCAATCCATGAGCTCATGGAACATGAGGAAGCTGAGGATCCCGGAGGGAAGGCAGGGGATATCGGGGGGTCCTGCCAGTACTCACTCAGCCACTCTGTAGGGAAAAGTTTCAATATACTGATAACCAGGTAGCCAGAGTCATGTGACTGGGTATCCATCCTGACTCAAGCATCCCACATGTGGGAATCCCAGGATGAGTTGATTTGCACCCTGCCTCGTAGGCCATGGGAAGCCCGGGCTACTCTCTGGGAGGTCCCTGGTGTGCCACTCTATGCAGTTCCCCATCTAGTGCCCCAGCCCCTTCATTAGGGATGGGTGTTTGTGGACTGACTATTGGAGGCTGAGGCCCAGGGTCCCTGCATGCTCACCTGCCCGCAGCCGAGGCAGCAAGTGAGACATGGCCTGCAGTTGCTTGTACTGGGCAACCCGCTCCCGTAGGGGCTGCAGAGTCCGTAAGGCCTGGGACATGCCCTGGAGCAACCCACGGGCCTGGCTCAGGGCCTCCCGGGTTCCCTGCACCGCCTCAATGGCCTGGGCCAGCTGCCACACACCAGTCTGCACGCCTTCCAGGTATGACTGCACCACTGACTGTGGAGAGATGGAGCCAGTGAGACCAGGCCAGTCCTGCAGCACAGTCCCAGCACCGGCACCTCCCACCCCATGCCCACCTTGAGGCGTGCTTCCAGGGAGCAGGTACGCTGCACCTCGCGGCTGCGGTACTGGCCTAGCCTGGCCAGCTGCTCCGGCCGGTAGAAGATGCCCGAGGCCCACTTAAGCGCTGCACCCCGGGCCAGCTGCTCTGCCCGCTCCTGCTCCGGCCACTCAGGCCCTGGGCAGGAAGAGCCTGGGCAGCCGTGTATGTAGTCAGGGAAGGAGGGCCCAGTGCCCCCAGTCCCAGCTTTCTTATTTATTTCTTTGTTTGTTTATTGAGACGGAGTCTCGCTCTGTTGCCCAGGCTGGAGTGCAGTGGTGCAATCTCAGTTCCCTGCAACCTCCGCCTCCCAGGTTCAAGTGATTCTCCTGCCT